AAAACGAAAATTAGAAGATCAAAGTAATATTTCATGTTAATAATAATTATTATATCTAATGTTCTCTTTTTATTGTTTTAGTAACAATGATAAATTCAAATAAGTCAGATATATCTCTTTCATCATATAAGTAATAATCTTTTATGTTTATTTAGATATCTTCTTGAAGACTTAGCAAATGAGATTCTTTATGAAATATTTGAATATCTTGATCCTTATGATATTTATAAAGGATTTTACAATCTTAGTAAACGATTTCAAAATCTAGCTATTAATTCAAATGTTTTAACTAAAATCAACATTTCAACAATATCAAAATCAAATTTCGAAGATTATTACCGAAATATTGTTATACCAAATCGAAATCGAATTAAATTACTTCGTTTATCAAATCCATTTACTGTTGATATTGTTTTTGCATTACCACGTACTATTTTAAATTTTGGTCATCTTGAAACATTAATTCTTGATGGTGTACAAATTAGATATTTTACTAAAGTTGTTCGTCATTTAATAGAATTGCCAAAATTGCATTCTTTAACTATTTCTCTTACTGGCTACAAGCAATCATTAGATGTTATTTTTTCAAATATTTTTCATTTACGAAAATTAAAATATTGTAAAATTGAGTATGAAATCAAACGTCTTGAAGATGAACCAGTTCAACTTGATTTTACTCACCGTGATTTCAGTCCTATTGAATGTTTGATAATAAACGGTCGTTTTCCATTTAATGGATTTCAGAATTTATTATGGCGTCTTCCTCAACTTCAACATTTATCGATAAATTGTCTTGTTCAACCTTTTTATTATGTGGAACAAGAAAAATTATCTCATATTGAATTAAAAAATTTAAAATATGTTTCTCTTCAATTTGAGTTCAAACATTTTGATAATTTTGAAAAGATTATCAAAGAATTTTTTTATCACGTTCAAATTTTACGTCTTACAACATGTTTTGATACAGATTGTTTAAATGCTAAACGATGGCAAAAATTAATAATGTCCTACATGCCAAATTTACGCATATTTGATATAAATCATCAAGATTATATTGGGAAGAATAATTTCACATATCATCACATAATTAATCAGTTTAATTCTTCGTTTTGGATAGAAAAAAAATGCTTCTTTACACATCAACATGATCGGAAGAATCAATCAGTTAGTGGAATTCTTTATTCAACTGCTCCATATCGGTAAAGAGAAATTATTGTTCATAAAGAAAAGTAGCACTCGTGCATACTTTTATATTAACTACAGAACAGATAGAGTTTGAGATCTTCAGTTTTTGTCATTCGACAGATAAGATGCAAGGCTATCAAAGTTTATTGAAAAATGATTGGTCAGTAATTCAGTAAACAGGTGAACAGTGTAGACATTGATGTACTGAAACCATATTTATCTCAATTTGAACGTTTTCTCTGTTATATACAAGTAATATGCATCGAGAATCGATACACTCTATGCTAGATTAAAGGCATTGAGTTATGTTTATAAGTATAAATCTAGTTGCAAGCACTCTTTAAGAGTGATGCTAGAAAAATACAAAAAATGGTTTGACTTATTACGAAAAGACTTTCGACAAAACCAAGTTTTTAATAATATAAAATGGCCATTTTAACCACTGTGTTACAAACAGACAGACAGGTGAATTTCCGATTTTAGATCTTATCCTTTCAGTCTAGGGAAAAATGGTTGATCGTGGAGTTTTAAGCACATTCTGATAAAAATGTCACATTACTTCAGGCTTGAAAACAAAAAGTATCATTCAGTTGATGTAGGAAGATTAATTACTCCAGTTTAGCTACTTTTCTATGTGATCACAGATCAATAGAATCAGATAGGAATGTCCGTCTAGCCCACATATTTTAATGCAAAAGTTTTTCTATCCGATAGTCTTATTAAAATTGCATGTGGAAATAAAAAGAAATCTTCAGAATATCGCTTATCATAAATATCACGTGATTGGTAAATTACATATCGATTGGTTTTTAATTCAGTTTTTATGGTTGCATTTTCTCTTTTGCACCGGGAAACTCGCATATCGTTAACTGATTCTGTTCTAAAATTATTCGAGAGAAAAGGCTACGGCGACTAGTTTTATATTGAACATTGTTTTTATTCTATTTTTTTTCTGTTTAGACGAAAGGATTATACGTATTATTGGGAGCCAGTCAAAACAAAATGCTCAAATATTGAAAAAGAAAATTTCAATTCAGTTAAACATCTTTATATTGCTAGTGAAGAAATCGATGATAATTGTGTGAATTATTTTCCAAATGTTAATGAATTATCTATTAAAAATAAATTTAAAACATCAGGTGATGCGATTATTGCAATTCTTCATCGTATGATTCCTTTAAGGCAACTGACGAAACTAGTTATTGAGTCTCATTTATTTTCAATGGAAGACATTATCAATTTATTACGTTTTACACCTAATGTACATACATTAAGCTTGAATTTATATATTTTGGATGATTTTAATATAAATTCAAATAAACAAAAAGAAATTTGTCAATATATATTCAAGAAAAATAAAATACAAAATTTAATTCTTAATCTGAGTTGTTCATTAATTGAAATACAATTTATTATGTCTTTATTTCCAAGATTAAAATATCTCAAAGCTCAAATGGAAAGAAAAGAAATAGGACAAATAATTCGATTTTTATTAACAAAAGCTCATAATAATACACGAAATTTATGCTATTTATGTATTTTGGAGGTGGCAAAAGTATGTCTACAAGAAATAAAGGTTTTAATTAAATCTGAAAACTTACTCAATGATTATTCTATTAAATATATTAATCATGATATACATTTATGGTGGTAAAAATTTTGCTGTTTCGAATATATTGTGTTTATGTCTTTGTTGTATGTAATGCTAATTATTTTTAAATAAATAAATCAAAGATCGAAAATTCAATAAATCGTATGATTTTAACTAGCAGGATGTGGGTGTGTAGCAAGGGAAAAAATCTCATTCCGAGCCATTGAAACGGCTTAGAATGGCGAATGGCTGGGAGTGGTTTCGAATGGACTGANCATGAAAACAATTTCCAGGATTCAAGGCAAACTCTACTCAGCTGAGTGCAGTAGAGCCCGCTTTTAAACATTGAAAGGTACTTTTAATAATAAAATCTTATTATTGTACTTAAAAGATGGTTTTCCATAACAAAACACCATAAATCCACAGGATCCATGAAAACGTTTCTGGGAAACCCGTAAACTAATATAAGGTCTTCTAAAATGTTTCTTCCTCGTCTCTTTAACTTCTAGCAACGCCCAGTGGTCCGATTCGACACAATCACTCATTTCTACCAAATTTGACACCCATAACTTGTAAGCTCAAAACTCTCCACTTCAATACTTTTCGTCAAAATTTATAATAAATCGTTATTCCTTCGAAATATCCCTTCCTTAACTCAAGAATCCACCTCGGAATTTCGAAAAACCGATTGCAGATTCGGATTCCCCGACCCCGATTTACTTTCGTCAACCTTTATACAAAATCGTTATTTTCTCGAAATACCTCTTCCTTAGCCCAAAAATCCACTTCAACATTTTGAAAAACCGATTGCAGATTCGGATTCCCCGACCCCGATTCCCTTTCGTCAACCTTTGTAGAAAATCGTTATTTTCTCGAAATACCTCTTCCTTAGCCCAAAAATCCACTTCAAAATTTTGAAAAACCGATTGCAGATTCGGATTCCCCGACCCCGATTTACCTTCGTCAACCTTTATTATAAATCGTTATTTTCCCGAAATCCCGCTTCCTTACAATGAAGTACTTTAAAGTACGATGAAGTACTTTAAAGTACATTAAAGTACATTAAAGTACTCTAAAGTACATCAAAGTACTTTAAAGTACTTTAAAGTACCTTAAAGCACATTAAAGTACATTAAAGTACTCTAAAGTACATCAAAGTACTTTAAAGTACTTTAAAGTACCTTAAAGTACATTAAAGTACATTAAAGTACATTAAAGTACGAAAGTACAAAAGTACGATGTTTCCCCCTTGACTATTAGACTACGATGACTAATAATATTTATAGAGAGACAGCTTATAAACTAATTAATATCCTTTCATTTAAGATTAACTTCATATTTCATTAATATTTTATGAGAAGTTTGGTTAGAATAAGACTGAGGATGTGAGGCATCTGGCTTTCTTCAATCACATCCACACCCTAAACAGCTTGCATTACAGCTCACAAGCATGTGAAAACTATAGCACTGCACAAATCAAATCGAAACACAATGTTCTGGAAAGTTGTAGTACATTTCAAAATTGAAGAAGTTTATATTCTCCAAGTCGAATATATTATTCATTAGAGAACTGTACGATGAAATTCTTCTAGGGAACAACTCTAGTCTAACGAGAGAACATATCTAATTTTCGAACGCCATTCGACATCATTTTATGGTTATGGGTAGATCTCTGTTAGACTAAAAAAAAAACTTAAAACAATTCGAGCTCATAGCCTATTGTACCGGCAACATCGTCTGTAGGTAGATTTGATATCTATTAAGAAGTTCTGAAAGCTTTAAAGAAAACAAGCATGTTTTTCTTGAGATGTTCAATTTTCAAACAAACTAGTAGTTTCTCCTAGAAGAATACAGTAATCGAATATCTGCAGAGAGACATGTTTGTTATTGTTGAAACTTTCAGAACTATCTAATGGGTATCAAATTTGTCTACCGACATAATTCTTCATCAGTAGGCTAATGACTCGAATTCCTTTAAACGTTTCTTAGTCTAGCTGAGACTTACTCGTAGTTATAATATGAAGTTGAACGGCGTATGATAGTTGAATATGTTTCTCATAGGTGATTCAAGACCAGAGAAATATTTGAACAATTATGAATAACCATGTATGGAATTATATTTATTTTGTCTTCAACTTTTTGTTTAGTCAATCTGAAAACTCGAGAATTCGTCTTGCAAGATAAGATTAGTCAATTCATTTTCATATCATTATTGTGATGTGTTTCAACGAAACCACAATTGAAGGAATCCATAAAGACCTGGCACTCTTTTAATAGTAGTCGTAGAAGGCAATGAAGATTTCAATCGTTCGATAATTTCGGATTTTCTCGACGAAGATACATTATCGGCATATTTCCATTTATCAGATGTACATGTAGTATATAATATTCGAATATTAATCATTTTGTTCACAAGTGTGAGTATGTCTTTTTCAGATTCGGTGGCAATTCGAAGTACTTCGCATTGAGTACCTAAGCGTGAACAACCAAATTTACGATAGATTTGTGTTCTTGAAGATGAATTGGAATGTTGTTGATAGCAAATTGTTAGCTGACGCAAATCAAGCCGTCTGACTGATCTACTCGTGTTGCTGACTAGAGGTATTAATGATGAAGGCCATGATGTGATTTCTAATGAGTAGAGGTAATGTGCTTTATCAAGTAAGATTTGAAGATGATGATCGGCATTATCATCAATCGAGCTGACTGATAACGATGTCAATTGATCAAGATTCTTGACAACAGTCCAAAATTGATTGTCTACTGGAAGATGGACGGATAAGTGACGAATGTTGGAAAAATAAATATGAGGAAGAGTCAAGTCCATGGTTAAGAATGACTTATATATAAGACTTCGAACTTGTTGGCATGACCCAAAGTTTTGATCGTAAGGACAAGTCGATTTATACGAAATGTTCATTATATCCATGTTTAATTCTGCAAATGTCTGAGGAAAAGTATATAAAAGGACATCACTGTAATCAATCATTAACTTTCGATGACATCGAACAAACCATTGATGTTTTTCGAGCCAAAATTGACTTCGAAATGAATCAAGAAGTGTATCGATTTCTTGTTCGTTATTCATTCTTCCATAGTATTGTATTCTCATTTTTAGCCGAAAAACATTTAACTTCGGTAAACAATTGACAATTATGTCCTCCCATTGCTGTCCATCCATCTTGATAAAATTTGTCTCAACTATCAAACGATTCAAGTTAGGCATGTGTGTTAGAAACTTGAACATGGCATGTCGTGATCTTACGTCACATAGCTTTAAAGAACTGATCGACGGAACAGATGTTGAAAGACATTGATGGTCACTAAGATGATTCAAAAGTAAACAAAGACTTTGAATATGAGGTGTTTGTTCAAATAGCCGATTCAACTCGTTTAAAGGGCAATAATATCTCTGGATTGATAGATGTTCGAGGGATGGTACAATCGTTGTTGGAATATGAAAATTTTCTTTTATATTCAAACGACAATCAGTAAGTCTAGGCAAACTCCAAATACTATTGAATAGTTGTACAGCATTCATGCGTTCAAATACCGAGTCACATTTAACAATTTTCAGATGAGTAAGATACGGTAGATCATGACACTCAATAATTATGTTGTTCATCGCCTCTTGAGAATTTATGCCACACAATGTGAGTGCTCTTAGATTAATAAATTGTCGTAGAATCATATTATGTGAAAAGAAAAGATCAATTTGTTGTGGACTATCATCATCATCATCTGACAGACGAAGTGAACTAATCCGATCGATAATTAATGGAAGATGTTGTTGAAAAAGAATTTGATAATCATACCGAGATATAGACCGAAAATTCAGATGATAAACACGAAAACGATCAAATAGAAGTTGATTAAAACGAGAATTGAGATCGTTAAAAGCACGTAGAAGTTGAATGGTTGAAAAATATTCAAATAGATCTAGCAAGATTTCGTTTGGTAGCGATTCCAATTTCATCATTTATTTGTTTTTTAGTCAATGTTAATGCTAACGAAAATTGATTGAAATGGGTTTAAATGAAAAAAGAAAAACACAACTTGTGTCACACATTACTTTCACAATGGGAGAAAGAAAAGATTCTATTTTGTTTTGAATTTTTCCCACATACTTATGATGACTCACACTTAATAAACAATTTTTTCCCTGTTCCTGGCAACGATGGCTTGTGCGAAAAAAGAAAATATTAACGAAATATTTTTTTTTCATAAAAAGGCAACGATAGAGAATAGGTAATCGGGCGTTCTTGAACCTGCACGTGTTTACTATAGTGATTAATCGTCAGCTAAACTATATACAAGGCATATTCAAGCTAAGTGAGTCCTTTCAGTTTAACGTTTTAGTGGAAATTTGTAACAAAAATATCCAAACTCTTCTGACTCGTTTAAATTTTCGTCTATCTATACGTCCTTTTCAGTAGTATCAAAACGTAAAATAATGATAGACTTTACCATATGCACAAAAATGAATATATATTGCGACTTTCTGAGGGCACATAACACCTCCACACCGCGAAGCGGACACAAACTGTTAGTTTCGCGAGCAAATCTTTTTAATTTTTCAATGATTACGTTCCAATTTCAAGTATAACATGTGTGACAGATTCAGACGTATACATAGAACGTAAAAAAGGAAGTACAGAAAAGAAAATTTCTTAACTAAAGTATGATTTTATTTGAGATTTAGTCGTACTTTGTATTTGTCTTAGAAAATTAGAAAAGGCTGGCTACTTTTTTATCAACGTTTTCGGAAAAAATGATAAAATGGATTATATTGTACCATGAAACAGATAGTTTGCATTCGGTACAAAACCATCGTAAAATATCATAAAAGGCAGTGCAATAATCCTTAAGAAATATATGGAGGTGAGCAGTATTCAAAAGAAACTACCTTCGGAAAAGAACTGTAGGCCGATGTAGGTGTGGATGGAAAGTAGAAAAATCTTCACACCCACACACTAACAATTAATGAAAACCTGTAGTCGATTCTTTCGAAAAGATAACAAGTTGAGACAAGCTGTGATTAAGACCGAAAGATATGGTTGGAGAACAGAGTTCGTTTTTTATTAGAAGAGACAATGTCAATAAACACCGTCTTCAACACATGTTTCACGTGGTATGCTATCGCGTCAGCATGCTCTTTGTTTGGTCATTATCATCAAACATTTCCAGTATCACGAAAGCGTTTCGTTTGCATTATTATCTGTGTCTTCTCTGCGAAATGCCTAAAATTACAGTTGCCGTATGTCAATGTGCAACCCAAGAGTTCGACTTCGATAAAACATTGACTCATCTTGAAAAGTTTAGTCAAGAAGCTGCCTCGAAAGGTGCTCAACTTGCTCTTTTCCCCGAAGCTTTCATCGGTGGTTATCCACGATACTCACATTTCGGCTCTGTGATTGGTCAGCGCAGCGATGCAGGTCGTACAGAATTCCTCAATTATTATCAAGGCTCAATGGCTATCAATGATGGAAACAGCAAGTCCACTGAGATTCAACGAATCGAAGAAATTGCTCGCAATCAAAGTATTTTCCTTGTCATTGGTATTATTGAACGGGATGGAGGAACACTGTACTGTACAGTTATCTACATCGATCCTCAACAAGGTCTTGTTCATTCACGAAGAAAATTGATGCCCACAGGTATTGAGCGACTCATATGGGGCTTCGGCGACGTCAAAGATGTTAAGCCAGTTCGATTGACAAAAGATATTTCAATGGGAGCCCTCATCTGTTGGGAGAACTATATGCCTCTTCTACGATATCACATGTATTCACAGCATATTCAAATCTATTTGGCTCCTACTGCAGATGCACGAAATACATGGATGGCCAGCATGCAACACATTGCTATTGAAGGACGAACATATGTATTAAGTGCAAATCAATTTGTCAAAACAAAAGATATGCCAAAAGAACATCCATTACCAGAAGAATTGTCTGATCCCGAAAGTGTTTTGACCAATGGTGGAAGTTTGATTGTTGATCCTTTCGGCAAGATTCTTGCTGGTCCTCTATTTGGCACAGAAGGTATTCTTGTTGCCGAAATTGACACAGATCAATGTATCAAAGGCAAGATGGATCTTGACATTTGTGGACATTATGCATGCAAAGATGCTTTTCTATTTCAAGTAAAGCAATGATCATGTTTTAGTGAACTCTTGATTTGTTTTAGACTTCCAAATCAAATTCTATTAATAAAAATAATGAAGAACATGCTCGTAATAGATTATATATTTACAGATTTTCCTGAGTTTTCTTGTTTAATGTTTTGTATTTGATGAAGAGAAAAAGAAAGAAATGTTTCAGCTCCATTAAAAAAGTACATCATGGACGTTGAAACTCATGGCGATCACTACACTTCTATAGACATCTGCTTGAGCTGATTTATATTATGTAAAGATGTGAGTGTGGATGAATGGAGAGGGATTACTTGTTTATCACTATGTCTGCAACGATCTGTGATAGTTTCAAAGGTTTTCTGCATGCTGATCTCTTAGACGTTAAAGAACAAAGAGAGATACTGTTAAGTTTCTCGATCATGATTAAAATGGTTTCGCATCTTTGCACTCTATAAAACATTGACTTCTGTTCTACAAGTATTCTGGCCTTCTGATTGGACACGATTTTAGGCTACAAGAGCGCCATTTTCAAGAAATCATATTTTCAACGTCAAATTGATTTTGATAAGGGACATGTGACATTATATTTTGTAAGAACAAATTTAAACGAGAATCTTATCAAGAATATCATTATAGAGGAAATATTCTATTGCATATCTTTTACATGGAGTCTCAAAACTCAGTATTTAGTAGAATTCTTTTTGTTAAATCAAAATAGTTTAATAGAGTTTATTGAGTCACTTATATGTCATTCATGGCTTACTTTATAGAGCCAACTTACTATTTTAAGAAAATTTTGTTCCTTCATTACAAAAAAAGAAATTCCTCATATCCGGGGTGTCATTGAAAAGTGTATGTCAGGCAAGAACCTCATCAATATGTATCTGATTAATCATGTTTGAAAGTTTGCAAAAGCAATAAGATGAATTATTCTAGAACAAATTTTCAATGAGAGTAATGCACCTTACCTTTTAATCATCGCTCTAAGAAATCATGATATTGTAGAAAAAAATTAAAATCAAATTATAGTTTTAAAACTTTAATGTGAAGATACTAAACTCATGAACGGTGAAATTGAATACATATGCACACAGCTATGAGTGCATAATCGTATAACGATTACCGATGTAAGCATTATGAAGTCAATATTTGACTTTTCTGTATAGGCAGCTTCTTTCATTGTGACCATCAGATACAAGGACAGATGGATGTTCTTAGTGACAAGTGAATCCATAATAGTACTTCCTGACAAACAACATGTCATTCTGATGTTCAAATTGATATTTTTGACGAGTTGTTTAAAATGCGGCCATGGATGATACTACATTATTCAAAAGTAAAAGTGTGGATATACTGAATGTTCGACAATAGGTTATAGTGGAGTAAGAGATGTTTGAAAACCTGCTCTCATTGTGTTGTTTAGACGTTACAACTGAATACCCTTGTACCAATATATATACAGATCAATCATTATTTCTCAGTAATATCTTGATCCCATTTAATGGCTATGCCATTCTCAATCAAGTTTTTTTATTTCACCTCTGTAATCATTCCTCGTATGAGAGCGAACCAAAACGAATAGGCAATGTTTCAATTCTTTTCGCTCTCTGAAACGTATATACAGAGATCATCAATCGAGCAGGGTACATATTCAACGTTCAATAAATTGCATATGTGACAGAATTTTCAAAAACGCTGTCTCGCATTATTATTGCTGGGCATTTTTCGAACGAACAACTCACCTTTCTGCATAACTCAATTAATAAAGTGATTATTACTATCCGTGAAAACCATCGTGGTGAACATCTCACATTAGTATCCTAAACTACTCCTCCAAACAGTTTCAAATGAAAAAATGTTTTTCTCGCTTCAAGCGATGTATTGTTTTTTTCTCGCGTCAAGCGAAGTTTCCTTTTTTCTCGCCTCAAACGATGGATTTTTTTTTCTCTCCATAGTGCTCGCTCATATGAGAGGAGAGATGCGAAGGTAGAATAAAGCAAATATAGTTAAAAGCATAGGTAAGTCTGTTAAGTGTCGACAGTACAGTCAGCTGAAAGAGAGTGGAAGCAATAATTTTATTTTTCTGTGCAATCGTGCAGTCGGAAGTATGGAGACGTTTCGAAACGACAAAAAATACACCCTTGTTTTTTTAACTGAAGCTCACATTGGAATACTTTAAACATATAGAACGAATGATTATGTGGAGTAGAACCTGTACAGTCAAAAATAAAAAGAATCCGTGATACTGTTGCTCACTCAAGGCCACTTTGTACCTAGCAGTCAAGGTCGGATTTCCAAGAACAGAGAGTTGTCAATTTCCATGACAACTCAATGTTTCACACTCTCACATTTTCTATGTAGTTTTTTCATCTTTATTGTGCTTTGTATCGTCATTCTTACCCATAATGTAGAGCTCTGATTAGTGTACATTATTTAATACACTATAGGAAACGCACCAACAAGCTAATTCTTAAATTATCTCCATTAATTTTCATATATAAGCACATCATTTTCACTAGGAATTTTTTTTGGTTAAACCGATTGGTGAGAACTACAAGTTGAAAGTAGTAGATTAAGACTGTCTTTTCTTCACGAAATACATCTATTTTTCTATGATTGATTCGTCCACAGTCCTACATTCACTTTTGCATCAATATGATATTGGAAGATTTTTTTTCTACAATCCACAAACAGTTTTATTCTTGTATTCGTGATGCGTTTTCACCTACTTAATTTTAGATATAAACGATGTTTCGTACGAAAAAATCACCAATGTTTTTTGAAACAGGTGAGTATTCATTTCTCATTTGTCCGAGACGAAAAATCAGTAGTTCATGATCAAATTGATAATTTCTTTGATTCGTCGAAACTGACGACGATCAAATGTGTTTTAATTCGATTTTTACTCAATTATATATTTTTTGACCTTTCAACTGCATGTTTTCAAAGTAATGGTTTGTTCTGTATTTATAGACAAACCTTGGCTTCAACATCAGTTTAACGATGATCAGAAACAATCAATGAAACGGATACACGTGCTCGAACGCGAAATGAAAAATCCATCAGCAGACATGGATGCTTACGTGTTCGATAAAATTCTAGGTTCTATGATGGGGTTAACTTTGGGCGATGCGCTCGGTGCTCATGTCGAGTTTAGACCTCATGCATATTTGGATACACATCCAGTCGAAGATCTTGAAGGAGGCGGGACATGGGGTCTGGAAAAGGGACAGGTAAGACCGACTTCAGAGACTATGATAGTACAGATTATATATGAAAGGGTATTATGACTAAGTATTCTTTTCTCGAATATAATTAATAAAATATTATTCGAAGCCATACGTTTTCAAAGTATGCAGAACTCTTCATAAATCGTTGGACTAATCATTAGAGTTACTCAAATAGGAAAATATCTAAAATAAATTCATTGTTTTATTTTAGTTTACGGATGATACTTCAATGGCTCTCTGCCTAGCTGCATCACTCATTGATCGACGTGACTTTATTCCCTATGATCAATTGGTACGTTATAAATGGTGGTATCAATATGGATACATGTCATCCACAGGAAAATGTTTTGATATTGGTGCAGCCACTAAACAATCTATTATTCAGTTTGAAAAGAATCAAAAAGACTATGCAAGCAAAACCAGCATTCCTATTGATTATATGGATTTCCTATCCGATCCCGGTTGTTTAAAGGAGTTTAACGTATACTGCAGCGAAGATGGAGTCGCTGGAAATGGAGCTCTTATGCGTCTCGCACCTGTTCCGCTTTTCTTCTACCGAAATCCTAAAAAAGCCGTGGAATATGCAGGTATCAGTGGAAAGATTACCCATGGCGATGAGAAAGCCTATGATGCATGTCGATTTTATGCAGCACTCATCGTAGGTGCTCTTCAAAACAAATCTAAAGATGATTTACTCAAAGAAACATTCTATACCGACTATAAAACATGGTTTGGCGACAAGGATCTTCATCCAGACATTCAGAAAATTGCGGATGGATCATACAAAAAAGAAAGAGGATATGAAGATGGAATTCGAGGCAAAGGCTACATTGTTAGTTCTCTGGAAGCTGCTTTATGGGCATTTTGGAGCGATGAAGGCTCGTTCAAAAAAGGTGTATTGAAGGCTATTAATCTTGGTGATGACACCGACACAACTGCAGCTATTTATGGACAATTAGCAGGTGCATTTTATGGTTTCAAGGGATTGCCTGAAGAGTGGGTTAAATATATATATGGAAGAAAATTCATTAAATGCTTGAGCAAATGGATCGTATACGAAGGAGAAAATTGGTCACAAAGTCACACATGCGACGATAATGAGACTGAAGCAACTGATGTGTTACCAGAAGAAATACCTAATAAGTCACGTTTCAGACGTTATACAGTTCATACAATTGTGCATGAGGTTTCTCCAACTTCACACCAACCAACAGCACCAAAAAGTCATCGTAGATCATCAACAGATTTAAGTGATAATAAACCATTACAAGCAGCAACTTTGGATAAAACGTCAATGCCAAAAACCGATCGTAGATCATCAACAGATTTGAGTAATAATAAACTGAGAGAAGAAACTCCGAAACCTGCACCACCAGATAATCAGCCGCCTGGCAACCGTGGTCGACGACAGACCCATCATTATCTTTTCGACGCATTTTCAAAATCATAAAAACAATCATAATTTCGTTTTGTTTCGAATTTCCAACTTCAATTTTCTTTGTCTCAAACTGGACTTCTTCATTGCATTCTTTTGACCTGCGAGATAAAATTTTAACTTTGACATTGTCTTTTTAATAATCAGCTCATTGAAAATGAATGATTTTCGAAGTTTCATGAATATCGAACTAATGTCGGATTTTTTTAAAAGTATTAACGACCATTTTCTGAATAACTTTTGATTACTTTGAGTTATCGAGCTGCGGTTTTCACCATTCAAAAGAGCAAGCCGGGGGCTACAAAATCCNTCTGAGGAAAACTTGGCAAGACCTTGGACATTCAGGATCCTCACAGATCCTTGCAAAATCTCCGAAGAAATGAACAGAATCGAGACTAGGATTCGATTTACTATTAAAAGTGATATATCGGGGAGGGTAGCTTCGCGGAGGTACCCGTACTTCTCCTCAGGGGTTTCCAAAATCACGAATACTAGAAACTTCCCAATTTTTCATAAAAACCGACGACCGAGTGAGGAGGGGTAGTTTCGCGCAGGTCTCCCTACTCCCCTCAGGGGTTTCCAAAATTTCGAAAAAGTTCCCGTGATTAACCGTGGCCAAGCTCCAGTCACGGTCACGGTCGTGACCGTGATCGTGACCGTGACTGCCGTGAGTCACGGCGGGCATGCCGGGCACTAATCCACACCTATTTTCTTCTATTGGGCACTATGTCATCTTGCTGAATACTATAGATCGTATGAAATTTTTATGGGATTTCTGGTTTTTAAAGAAGTTTATGAGAGAAATTTGACTCCAGATCGAAATTCATGTAACTGTTAACATTGAATAGTTTGATAATTAATAGATTGAACTATAGACAAAATCAGCTTCGATTAAGAAATGTATGCAAAAATCTTCTGAGAAAAAATTTTTCGTTTTCAATAATTTTTTCTTAAAATATTCGAAATACGCTGATTTAAGTTAAAAAAAAGAAAACAACCAGTAATTTTCTAGGCTACAATAGGAAATCACTCTTATCAATAAGTCGCACTTTAAGTAACATAAATATTCATTTACTCTTGTACAAATCAAGATGTTAAGTTTGAAAATTCTTTTTTGACTTTCTTAATTTTATCTTTAGTAGGTGCAAAGCATCAATCCCTAGTGAATGTATTAAATTGAGGATATCTTACTATCTGTATGTAACAAGAAACCTTTGGGCACTTGGCTACAAAATCCTTCTAAATGTTCAATCTAATAACTTGTTGAAACATTTTTAATAGTACCATGCTAACAACTGGCCCAGTACATGTGCACCTTGAATTCAGTACATATTTACTAGGGGTGTACTTTTGAAGCAGCCTATATTTCATTTTGTTGCTAATTCAAAAAAAATATATCAAGATTGTCTCATGTCATTCAATTTGCATTTGACTTTAATTTCAATTAAATATTTCCTTGTGCTTCTATTAACAATATTGATTAAATTTGTATATCTAGAAGTAAATTGAGTATCTTTTTTGTGACACATATAAATTGTGTCTTTTTATGCTAACGATATATTCAACAAAACTATATTTTGTTTGAAAAGACAACTATTCTATTCAGAGTTATTTTATTTATAAAGTAAAAACTTCATTTTCATTCTAAATATTTTAATTTGTTTAAATTAGTTATATAACTGAAGCTGGTCAATTAACAAATCAAGTTCTTGCATTAATGGAAGAAGTAAAAAAGAAAGAACTTGAATTATTTGATCAAAAGAAAAAAATTGCTGAATTAGAAACACGATTAAAACAACAACAAAATTTATATGAAGCTGTTCGATCTGATCGTAATCTTTATTCGAAAAATTTAATTGAATCTCAAGATGAAATTGGTGAAATGAAACGTAAATTAAAAATAATGAATCATCAAATTGATCAATTAAAAGAAGAAATTCAAGGTAAAGAACAAGAATTAGTACGTGCACAAGGTGAACATGAAAAAGTTAAAAAAGATAAAGATCAATTAATGTTAAATGTCGAACAATTAAAGAAAGAAGCAATTAAAAAAGAAGAAGCTTATGCAAATCAACAATCTGAATTTGAACGTTTAAATAAACAATTATCTGAAGCAAATGATGAACGTAAAAAACAAATGAAACAATTACAACAAGTAAGCAAATAAAAATATTTATCTCACAAAAAACATAGAATGTTTTTCTTTTTCTCAGGTCATTGCTGAACGTGATGTTCTCGGTACACAACTTGTTCGTCGTAATGATGAACTTGCACTTCTCTATGAAAAACTTAAAATTCAACAATCAACATTAAATAAAGGCGAACTTCAATATAAAGCTCGTCTTGAAGATTTACGTATATTAAAATTAGAATTAAAAAAATTACGTCATGAAAAAGGTACATTACAAGATAAGGTTTCAAATACGGATGATCTTAAACGTGAAGTATTTCATGTACAACGTGAATTATTACGTGAACGTACACGTTGTCGTGCATTAGAAGAAGAATTAGAAAATCCTATGAATGTACATCGTTGGAGAAAATTAGAAGGTAGTGATCCATCAACATTTGAATTAATACAAAAAATTCAACTACTTCAAAAACGTTTAATACAAAAAACAGAAGAAGTTGTACAAAAAGAATTATTAATACAAGAAAAAGAAAAATTATATGCTGAACTCAAACGTATTTTAGGTGAGTTTCAAATGATTTGATATAATTGTTTTAAGATTTGTATACGAAGAATTGAACAATAGTGAACGTCTCTACAGCAGATTTATGTACCGTGCGTAAAAATCGAGATGTTAAGGGTATGAAGGATGATGGTGATAGCCACTGTTTAAAGTCATTTCGATTGGCGACACGGTCGCGCCTAACAGAAAGTGAAAACTTTTTTTGCTGATTTTTTCTTTGTACTTGTTGCTCTATAATATTTCTTAAAAAGTAGTGCTTCATTTATGAACACTTATCTAAGAACAATAAAAAGTTGAAGACATCATGAGAGAATATTTAATTAGGCAAGATGTAATCGAGCATATATGTATTTCTTGAATGTTTGTTTCTATGTTAACTTGTTTTGTAGTTAAATTTGAGGAAATATAAGTTCAAGATGAGTTTATATTTTATCGTCATAATGAAATGCATTAAAAGATTTACGTTAGATCGATTTATTATTAGGATAATTTTTAATCAACATTGATTACGATTTAATTAAAAATATTTAACAAATGAATATGAAATGGAGTAATAAAACAATCGGTATCTCAGAAAGAATAAGTCTCTCAATGATCGTATGATTAAGACGTGACCGCTTTCGCGAGGATGGTGCGCATTTCTTTTTTGGAGTATTGGCCAAAGATACGAGACTAAGGTATTCTTCATTTTTTTTTTACGACGATACCAAGTAAAAAAACTCAAATCCAAACAATGATTTGAATAGTCAGAAAAGCTCTCTATCAATTTCATTCCGTACTGAAATTACATAGATGGACTATAAGAGAAAGGTAGATAAAATGAGGACTTGTGGCGTTTCCTACGACCTTTCTTTTGAAATACATCACAAAGCATTGCTACAAATTGACTAGAAAATGCATTTTTTTTGTTTCTTTGTTGTGATGCTTACAAATTTTTAAAAGAAGGTCGTACGGGATGTGGCAAAATCTCATATTAGTCAAGATTTTATGCTCTTTAACATGGCATTAAATTTCGGTATGGAAGGCATGATTGATTGACAACTCATATATCTTATCCATGTTCCTAAACAGCTGATTAATACTGCAAATTCTTTTTTAAAATGCTATTTAACTAATCTTCGTTCTTGTTACTGAACTGGAAATGTCACAAACTTGATTGACACGAATATTTTCACAATAAATTTCTTATTATTGAATATTATCTGTTTTGATCGATTGTGTGTATATATACTCTTTTATATCCCATATAACAGTAGGGATGGCACCCTGAAAGTTAGTCTTTACAGGTGACTTTCTGTTATAGGCCTATTACAAGTAGGAAGAAGAAGCGTCTCATGTTCTAGTCAAATATTGATAAATTTACTTTTTATTTTGCATACCAGTCTAAGAAAAATCACTTGCATTCTGCATTCAAAGTAATGAAATGTCATGTAATAAAAATGTGTAAAAAATCATTTCGAGTATTATCTGAGTCATTGCTTATTATTAAATTATCTAACGAAAAACATCTTCTCTCTCCATATACACTATGAAATATTCTGATTGATCTAATGCGAAATGCATCATTGTAAAATTTTATATAAAGTTTTTTTGTCTTCAATAAAGAACAAATCTATTATACTTTATGTTTTATTTGTTTTTAGCTCGTCAACCTGGCCCAGAAGTTGCCGAACAATTATCTATATATCAAGAAACATTGAAAGCTAAAACAAAACAACTTAAATCATTAGCAAGTGAAGTTAATATGTATGAGAGTCAAATAGATGATTATAAATATGAAATCGATAAACTTAATAAACAATTAACTGAAGTACGACAAAAATATTTCCTTCAAAAAAAGAAAGAAGCCATGGCAAAAGAAAAAGAACGTCTCTCACAAATGCAACAACTTTCAACAACAATCAATGGAATTACATTACAACAACCACCACCCGATCTTATTCAACCAAATCGATCAAGGTAATCTATTAAATTTTTTTTTCAAATTCTTAAATAATCTTAATTTTATTTTCTTTTTCTTTCTTTTCAGCGATCAAGCACGTTTCACTGGAGGTGGTTTCAATCTCAAATCCACACCGAAACCTTCTAGTGTTACTGCTTAGCTTTTTTTTTTATTAACTTTTCAAATACATATAATAAAAACTTTTATTTTCAGTTTTCACTTTTAAATTATTCAAATAAATCGAACAGATAACCCGCGATGCAAAAATAATTTCCAACATTTCGGGCGATTCTTCTCCAAACACGAACATAGTAGAATAACCAATAGGTTTATTATTCAAAATAAAAAGGCTGCTAGTTCACCCACTGCGTGTTATTCTATCTATTTTGGAACACAGTGCTTCATCATACTTTTACTTAATTGTAGGGAAATGCAACGAGGAAGTAGTTCATAAATAATAACGTGATATTATAGATATAAGATATATGATCGTATATCAACAATGTCTGCTACAGTCTGCGATGAAGACTAGTCGTTGCTAAGGATGTCCATCATGTCTGTGCAAAAAAAGGGGTAAACTGTTATTCCTACATTTCAATATGAAGAGTGTATATTTCATAATTATATTAATTTACGTTTGCTCAATTTTAACAAACAATCCATCAGAACATCGCGTATTAGTAACTCTATCTGTATCAGTTTCTTTAAAACTCTTTAAAATGTTCTTTAATAATAATTTTTGTTTAATAACTAGACTATTTTTCATGAAGTATTAGTTTGAAAGAATATCAGCCACCATTTACACAAATTACGTACGAACTGAATCATTTTTGCATTCTGTCTTCGAAATATATTCTATTACAGAAACTTAGCGAAAACATTGATTCTACAGCCATTGTTTACTGCGTCAAAAAGGAGTAAATAATTATTGTGAAAGACAAAATTATTCAGTCTATGTCAGAAAAGCCATATTAATATATAAAAGCTAACAGAAAATGTATCCTTTAACATGGCATTGGAAACAATATTCTTAATCTTCTCTGGCATTCAAAAATTGCTTTTCGATCAAGTATATTCAAATCGTACGATGCATCAAAATTTTTAGAGACTGTAGTCGAGAGAGAATAGTCAATTTTTTACAGCTCAATACTATGATATTTTCGATAGATATTCGCCAAGTAAGGGACAAAAATAGCACATTTTGGTAGCCCAAAATTCTCTTGGGATTTTCATTAGAAGCGTTTAGTTTTTCTTTCGTGTGAAAAAGTACGTATCACTGGAGGATGTGGTAGAGTCTTTCTTTCAAAGCTCTTACTTTTTAGGTGAAGGAAAAAGGGACATCAATACGCTAAAAAAACTCTCTAAAATTGTGATAAAACAATGGTATACCAAGCAATAAGTAATGTTGATTATGAGAAATTCGACAGTAAGTAATTTGAACTGTGCATTTGTCTGAATTTCCACTTTTGCGACTAAATTTGACTTTGTTTTCGAGTCGGCAAGTTCGACATAGTTCTGCAAAAATAGTCCTTTTTTCTCTTCTCCTCTTATCTCAATACAATCAAAAGAAATCGATGATGATGCAACTCAATGGACAAATTATGTACAAAGCAGGTTTTAAAAATTTATTGTTTTGGACTTTGTCTTTTCTCTCAAATTCATTCTGGGTAAAAATTTATGATGTGAACTGTGTAGCTTACGTATTATTCTTTTTAATAATAATAAGAATGGACTCTTTGTGAACTTGCGAATTGCGAAACTATGACTGTAGATTTCGGCTATACCTATTACTTTTACATCGCAGGTTATTCATAGTATATTGATAGATCAATTAGTGTCACGTTGGATTTTAAATAACTTCATCATCTGTATCAAATAATTTTAATGTAATACTTGCGTTTGGCTAGTAGTTTTAAAGTAACAGTGAGGAGGACAGTCATCACATTCTCTACTTTACGGATTATTGCATGTGTTGCCAATGTCATAACTTCACCTTTATGTGTTCTTTTATCCATGCTATTATATTTCTTGACCAAAATTAGATGGTGATTTATTGAATCACTGAACTCTAAAACACTAAAAAGGAACTTATTGTTTATCTAGTAAACATTAAAAGTTGATAAATGAAATTATTTTCTTTATAAAAAGCGTGATTGCAAACATTCTGACGATTTTTTAATCGATTAAGTATTTATTTGATTGGATACTTGCTTTTCTTCATCACAGTACATCAAATGAAATATTTTTTTTATGTTGTTGGTAAAATATTCGCTAGCAACAAAAAATATGATTTTTTTTATTGCTTGTTTTATTTTTTAGAAAAAATAAAAATAATATTTTATAAACAAAGCAGAGAGAGAAAAAGAGAAACATTAATAAAAACATTCTTTCTTTTTTTTTGTAAAAAGTATAATCAATTGATCAAGTGAAAATGCCAAGCAAGCGGCCAATTAAAGCTTTTTATATTTCTAAGAAAAAAACAAAACTAAATGGCTCACATAATACTCCTAGTTCACCGGTAACTCCATCGTTTGCTGTAATTGATGAGATTCATTCTCCTGATCCAGCGTCGTATTCACCATTTGGACGAATATCTCAAATATCAAATTTTAGTCGACCAGAAAACTCATGGAATTCATCAAAAAAAGCATCATCCGAAGACTCAAGTTTATCTAAAAATGACATTGAAGATGAAGAAAACAGTGAAGAAAAAGATTACAAGACATGGTTATTTATCATTTTTGGTCTATTAATTGCTGCTTGCTTAGTTGCAGTAGCAGTCTTGCTAGCGGTTATGATTGCCAATAAGAGCAAAGGTAATATCAGGTTGATTTCTGAAGAAAAATAATATCTAAAACAAAACTATGCTATAAAATCAAGATGTTTTTGATGTTAAAAACAACTTTCTGTTTTGATTATGTTATAGTGATAGAATAGTAGACAGTTTAATAACTCTTTCATCTGAGATGTTCATCGTCGTTGCAAATCTGTTATTCACGCACTGCAGTCCTAGAAGAGACAAGGCTACTGTGATGCGGTGAACCATATAAAAAGTTTTCGCACTCTCACCATGATTCTGACTGTTGGACTTGTAGGCACTCAAATCAGAAGCAAATTCGTATAATTTTACAATCTTCCTAAAGAAAGTAGCTATCGCACATCTGCCGTAATAGTATTTTTGAAACGTCTTTCGCGCTGTGGTGATTTAAAACAGAAAAAGATGCTCTATCACTTCGCTAACGCCGTCACAGTAGTCATAACACTACCATGAATATCTCTGGCCTACATGAATCCGCTGCTGTATTGTTGCATAGTTTATGTTCAAAAATACATTTGAAGTTAAATTAATTCTATTTCGATTCGTCTAGTAACAACAACATCAACTACTACCACTACGACGACGACTACTACTACAGCAACCACATCGACTACGACGACGACTACCACCACAACCATGACGACGACCACCACCACAACCACGACGACTACGAAGACGACCACCACCACGATCACGACGACCACTAAGACTACTACGACCACTACGAGCACTACGACCACTACTACCACTACATCAACTACGACGACCACTACAACAACGACGGAAACTACAACGACCACGGAAACTACAACAACAACGGAAACTACAACGACCACAGACACTACAACGACCACGGACACTACAACGACCACAGAAACTACAACAACGACAGAAACTACAACCACTACGGACACTACAACGACAGAAACTACAACGACCACAGAAACTACAGCAACGACAGAAACTACAACAACTACGGACACTACAACGACAGAAACTACAACGACCACGGACACTACAACGACAGAAACTACAACAACCACGGACACTACCACAGAATCAATTACTACACAAAGTAAAAAGAATCATTTTCTGATTTGTACTGCTATTTCAGTTACACTGCTATCTTCTATTTTAAAATTAGATACATTCTATTTTTTTTTGTCAACAAAAACATGATTAAGCTTTATGTCAGAAATCAAATAATAATCCTCTTATTTTAATGAGCAGATTATAGATTCTTGTTGAAAATAAATCCAAAACTGTTTCTGTTTTTAACTACGTATCTATACTTCTTTGGTTTTTTGTCTATTTAAGCTACAATAGAACTTTCAAGTGATTCGTCAAGTGAGTTCTTTAATTGTCCACAAGTAAATTACATCTATTCATTTAATTAATTTTTCTAGTGACTACAGGACCATAGTAACACCAACATACATAATAGCGTCTATTATCATTCATTGAACGATAAGCTTAACAACGAATACAACAGACATTATAATGACATCAACTCCTTAATCTACTCATATTAATAGTGAAACAAACTAAAGTTTCAAATCATGAAAATGTTTTCTTATATTCTCGAAATAAACAAATTCATATATTTATATTACTAATGCTCATGAATGTATTTAAAATCGTGACAAATTGTTGCGAAGTAATAACGAGTGTAAAGAAATATTCTATTGTTATCTTGTGTAAATATTTCACAATTAATTAAAAAATGAAAGCTTGTAAACTACAAAATCAATTTTAATTGAGTTTGCGATATTAAATTTTTATTTCACGTTATCAGTTGTTTTGACAAAGTACAGTAACAAAACTTAAATTAATCTGTTCAATGAATAATTCAACTATCGAAAATTTTTATTGTAATAAGTGCTTATATTAATCAATAGCTGAATCCGTTGATTACTTATATGATTATAAAGCGAAATTCTAGAAGAATCATTGGTTTATCATTATATAATGTACTACTAGTTAAGATCGTAGCATCTTTTGTTGTGATGAAAATGTTCTGTAAACGAAATTTTCTACATGTATTGCCAATGAATACTTTTCTGTATAAAAGGTCTATATCATGATCGACGAATTGTTTTCGGTTTACATCTACTTGAATAAAGAAAACAAAGAGGTACATAGAAATATTTCCGCCTTGGAAAATATTATGGATAGTTGATAATGGCATTCTTGGTTTAATATCTAAGATTACTTTTCCAAAAGTATACCTATTGCATTGCAACAAATATTTACTGCATCAGGTTCCATTTATTATATTTTCTTTACACAACCAATAGATTGATAGAAAATATCTATGGATAATTCAAGTAATCCAGAGAAAAGAACTTCGCTTCAGATTGACGTTCTATAAACAAAAACCTTCTCAGTTCGGTCTCATGAGAGATTAAAGTGTAGAACTTGAAAAATCTATATTGTTGAACAATTTGAAATAATTTATAAAGGTACTGAATGAATGAATAAATCAAAATTATAATAATCTTCATCGTTTCTAGTCGCGTTCTGAAATTTTGTTATTTCGAATTACTATACTGATTTATTCGATACATTTAGCATCATTATTTATATTATCAGATGCATTTCCAATAGATAACTTATTTTCTCCTAATGATAATGTATATACGATACATGTCATAGACAGCAGCAAATAACATCTTATTCTTCGTTTCGTCAGTTCAACCACCATAGTAGCGTGCTTAACACATCGATTTAATCATTCACTAAGCATCCACATACATCACACTATTCTGACTCTGCTAGATCAATAATACCACAATCATACTGATTGACATCTGTAATAGCATTCTTTCGCTCCATTAAATATTGAAACTCGCAATATTCAGACTAGAGTCACAATCTACAGAGTTCCAAAATGATATAAGCACTGTTATTACTTACTCACTTTTTCTCGTTGCTAGGGAAGTCTATCCAATAACCATTGGCTTCTTCTTCGTCCACATTCTACGACTGTGTGGAAAATGTCGTAACCAAAGCACTCAAAAAGGTCCTGGTTGTCATCACTGGTCATTGGAACGCAAAGGTCCAAAGTGACAATGCAGGATGAAAATCCGTGGTGAGCAGATAGGGTTATGGCACAAAGAATGAATGGGACGAGCAGCTGCTAGAGATTGCAACATTACACAAGCTACTTATTTACAACACAAGATTTCAACAAAAACCAAATCAGAAATGGACATGGAAGTCACTTGATGATGTCCACAAAAATATGATGGAATTGATGATCATCCAGAAATGATAGAAAACATCGGTCATTAACTGAAGAATATTGTAAGGTGCAGACATTAGTTCAGATTATTCCTTAGTGCTGTGCAATATAAAATTAAGACTTAAAAGACTAGGCAATAAACCAGCAGAAAACCACTTTTTTTGATATAATTTTTGGTGCAATTATTCAAGACCTAGTATGCAAATTTGATTCTCTCCGATTTTTGAAGATCAGTCAATTTTGGTAGCTTATTTCTTGTGTACAAGATGTAATCAGGATCATGACGCAATATTCGCTGTACACTTGCTCTTGATATATTCATTTCGAAGCTTAATCTTCGTGTTGATATCTGTTTTTTCTCTGAAGTATTTGCTTCTCTGCGTGAAGCCTTCGAAACATCAGGTGAGTATGGCAGATTGATAACGTCCGTAGTTTTAGCTTTTTTTGTCCACAAATTAATTATTGTCTTTGATACTACTTCGTCTAAAGTGCGGTTGATCTATATATCTAAAAAGTCTTTGGATTCAATGATGTCTATCTTTGTAGAGAATTTCAAGCATAATCTTTTCATTATAAATGCTGCTCAATTCCAGTAAATACTAGTGGAGAAATTCAGCAAATACGAACAATGCGATTCTTTTTGAGTCAGCCATTATTTCTCCGTCAATACTTGGTGCAGTGAGAAGCAGTTTTTTAATGTATTTTCTTCTCTTCCTGGACTAGATCAGCAAGTGTGTCTATCGATTATCGATTATGGAGTCGGTAAGATCCACGATTATTCATGTTTGTGGATAGAATGAGAACAGCTTCGTCTTTGAGCTATTGATCCGTAAGACAGAATATCACATAAATAGAGATTCAATTTTTTTTCTTTTGTCAATGAAGAAAAAAAAAGTGTCGGGTGAAAATTACAGTCAGAGAGTACATGAAACTGTTTTCTATTCGAATCAATATTGATCACATTAATGTTTGAGATATCGAATACCAAAAAAAGCTATTACTCGCCATCCAATAATAAAAGCAAATAATACTCCAATGCATCCCCCAATACTAATATAATCGAGGCCAAGATCTCGAATAGTGACTTCTCCCTCAGTTATACATTTACCTGCCGCCAACTCATTAGCTGTGCATGTTAATTTAAGGTCTTCTAATTCGTTGAGACTTAGAGCAACATAAACATATTTGATATAAGATAAAGCATCAAGCCATGAAAAATATTTTGGTAAACGAGCCGGAGCTAAGAAAAAGCCACCGAAAAGCCGTGTTACTTCCAGTGCCATAGGCAAAACAGTGACACTCATATCTGTTGTCTTACATAGAGCAGAAATCATTAGAGCCAATGATGTTGCAGCAAAAGAACATAAAATAATGATCACTGTAAATATAAAGAATTTGCTAGCAACCAATTGAAAACCGACCAAAAAATAGACAATGCAAGACTAAAAAATATTCGCACCATTTTAAATGAAGAAAACTTCGTCAAAAAAATGATTTCACTTACAAATAAAACTGGCACAGGAGCTTGAACAAGTGTATCGGCTAGAATTTTGGCTGTAAAATAAGCACTTGCATAATAAGTACCAGAAGCTCGTTCTCGTAATGATAATGCTCTTTCCACTGGAAATGAATTTATAACCATCAGAGCACCGAAAATACCTTGATTAATAGCACAAAAGAAAATTACCGGACTTCGACGTAGAATACTTGATTGTCCGTTACCAATTTGTAGAAAAACACAACCAATTAAAATGGCAATAATGATTGTTTGAATGACCGATGTAACAATAATTTTTGATGAGCGAATTTGTTCTTGAAAATTGCGTCGAAGAAGGATAAAGAATTGTGTGATCCACAACGGGTTTTTTGGTAGATCTGCCATTTGAGCAATACGCTTGTGTGCACCCATATTCAGATCGATTTCAACAGGAGCTTGAACTGCTAATATTAATTTATCAGCATCTGTTTGTTTTTCAGAGGAAGCTGATTGATCATCAATTGTTCTCGCTGGCGTGATAACATCGAGTAGATGATCAGCTGGGTTACTGTATAATGGACACGGAAAACCGGCCATACGATAAACATCCTATTAGAAAAGAATTTTCTTCCTTTTCAATTTGCTCTCTCATCAATTTTCTTACCATTGCCTGTTGCCGTGGACCTTGATATACAATATTACCTTGTTTGAGTAAAATCAATGAATCAAATAGATAAAATATTTTGGATTGTGGCTGATGAATTGAACAAACAATAGTTACAACTTTTTCTGATGATCGACCATGAGCTAATGAATGAAAGGTTCGCAATAAATCCAATGCTGTGACTGAATCAAGACCAGATGTTGGTTCATCCAAAAAAAGTAATTGTGGTCGATTTAATAATTGCATTCCAACGCATAAACGCTTTCTTTCTCCTCCAGAGATCCCTTTTTTTTAGCACAGTTCCAACAATAACATTCTTAACATGGCTAATACCCAAAGCCAACATGACTTATTGAACACGTTCTTCATGTTGTTGACGTGTAAAGTGACGTGGCAAACGAAGTTCGGCCGTATACATCAATGTTTCATACACAGTTAAATTTCCGTTTAAGAGATCGTCTTGTATTACATAACCAGCTATCCGCTTCAATTCTGCATTATTATATGGCGCACCATTCAGACTTATTTGACCTTTTACAATGGTATTGACATCCAAACGACATGCCAATGTATTCAAGAGAGTTGATTTACCTGAACCAGACGGACCTATGATAGATATAATATTTTGAATGTATCATGACAAAAGAAAAGATTGAACATACCCATCACAGCCCATAGTCCACCTGTGATTGCACCACTGATATTATTTAATAAACATTGTCGTTTACGTGTAAATTTTTTCCAACATTTCATTTGTTGAAAGAATTCGGTAACTTTATCTTCACGTGTTAGAACAGTTAAGTTCTTCCAAACAAGTATTGTGCTGACACGATCTGATAATGGATCGAGAATAGATAATTGTCGTTGAGATGGATCCACGTCTGTTTCCGAGTTATGTTCTCGATTTTGATGAGATGCCATAGAAACCGAAGGCAGTGACAGAGGCAGAGATTGAATTCTCTCTGATGCTTCATAAGGAATTGCTATTGGTATCATTGTGCTCCGTGTTGAGTCTTGATTGTTCATCAATTCTTCATCGATCATCGTTAAGCGTATCACATTCAAATGTGGTACTATGTTCATATCATCATTATAAGCCATCGTTGATTTTGGATTAGTTACAGTATGTTGAGCAATAATCTAAATATTCAATTATCGTAACGAACAATGATGTCTAGGTTTTATTTATTTTCAATGCATTACTCTTGTCCTATGCTTCTATCATTACTATTTTTTACTTCATTCTTTTTGAGTCAATGATTCTATGAAATAAGCTATTTTCGAAGAATCATACCTGATAAAAGACAGGAGCTTCTTTTTAATACGATGAGTAGCACGTCGATTATCGACAAGTAAGTAAAATACAAAGAACTGATCGTCTTCTACTGCCTTATTTATAGGCAGAAGCATGATTTTAGTCGATACGAACCGGTTACACTTCATGCAATATATGCCTGTTTTGCAATTCTCTTGCACATGCATTGACTGTGTGAACCAATGTTAAAATCACTTCTAAAAAAAACAACGAATCGCAATAGCAGACAGGTTATCGTCCCTCATACCTATTCTCTTCGTTCTTTTCTTTTTCTTTCATATACTTCAATTGATCAATGTTTTCATTTAAGAAAAGAAAATTCACCCGAGTTCTGCTTATAACCGGCAATAGATGCAGATTAATCCGGTTCGGATGTCAGTTAAGTGCTTTTCAAAACAATACGTAAAGTTTACCTCGAAGTATACTGAATGGTACAATGATTTAATTCTGCCGATCGACATAGTTAAGCAAATAAATAGATTTTTCTTCTTATTATTATTCATTTTGTAATAATTCAAGTGTAAGAAATAGCGAGATTTAACAACGTTTGAAGAATCAACATTTATCGAGTAGCTTTGGTGGCATGGTATAGAATTATATTTTCAGACAACTTGATGCTGGAACAGAAGTGATACTCACCTCAAAATATGCGATCAAAAATCATCACGTACGAATTATCAGTCATGATGCTCATTGGTTATTATTTGATACAATTGAAAATAAAGAGTGGCCAGAAATGATAAACTTCTCTGTATTCTGAAGATATCTCACTCATATTTCATTGCAGAACAGAGACATATCAGAATAAGATTCATTGGAAATTTTTGATAGATTCACACAAAAACACAAATCAATCTACTACTCCGAACGCTTGCTTTTTAGGAATCCGTCGTTGCCGAGGATCAATTGGAAAATAAGTCATTTGTTTTCAAGCAAAGATAAATACAGAACTGATCCAGCAACGCGTTTCGTGTTACTTATTGAACTTCATATACTCATAAATTGTTATTAAATACGCAGCATTTTTTATTTTCTTTTAATATAATGATTATATATATGTTATTTTTTTGTTTTTTCAAAAAAGGACAAAAAGAGAGAAATCTATATGAAGATGCATAGATTGTCTTTTGTCACTATGTGTGACTAGCATATGAATTAATAATAATAATAATATAATATTCATAATTTCTGTTATGAAGTAATAATAAGATTCAATTTTAATATTATAAAGCTTTCGGACTATTCCAGTCCATCTTCAGTATATGAGAGTGGATACATATCAATAGCTAATTCATATAATATGTATATGTCGTATCGAAGTTACACCGGCCGACGAAGTTATAACTTCGTCGACTCATATTGACGAAGTTACAACTTCGTCGTATAAATGTGACGAAGTTATAACTTCGACGATGATCGTCATCGAAGTTTCAAATTCGACAATAAAATTTGTCGAAGTTAATTTTATTTCATGTATCAGTAAATAATTTACTAAAATCGAATATCATATTGCTGAATATATGATAACATTTGTTTTGCCAATAAATACTCTTTATTCAACAATATAGTTGGATAAATGGTATTCATTGACAAAAAAATTTTTATCATATATTCAGCAATATGATATTCGATTTTAGTAAATTATTTACTGATACATGAAATAAAATTAACTTCGACAAATTTTATTGTCGAATTTGTAANTCGTTAAATTAAACAATCAATTGGTGATATCTAAGTGGAATGAAAGTCTCATCAAAGAACTATGAAATTCATAATTTTAGTGATATTTCATCTTGTTTGTTTATTCACAAAATTGAATCCATCATAATAGAACGAATTATTAGAACAATGACCAAGAATGCGTTACTTTATTGATAGTTTTTAGCTTTCCAAATTCAATTAAAACTTCATGAAATTACTACTACAAAAAGATTAGTTTCAACATGCTTTTGTCGTTGATAAATGTTTCAATAGAGTTTATCAGAAAAATTTACGGTAATGCTACCGCTATATAATCTAATTCTCAAAACCTGTCGCCTTTATGTATTGTTTGTTTTCCATTAATCATCATCTGTTTCGACTAATAATGAATCCATAACGAGAATAGAAGAGAAAACTAATTGAAATGATTCTTTTTCAAAAATCACCTTTCTATTCCTGATCAACTAAAATCCAAAATATTTTGTCAAACTTTCAACCAGTTTCAACTCATTCGTTACTTATTATTTGTACCAGTCGATATTTGAGGATATGAATCTCGTAAATAGATTCAGAGAAGTTTTGCATGTAGGTACGTTGCAAGCCTATGATAAAAAAAGGTTATTCATCAAGAAATGAATGAATAAACGAGGTTTCCTTTCAATGCATGCAAATAAAGTTGAAGATAATATAACAATAGACAGGAGAAAAGAGTACTCTTAGCGATGAAGGAAGAAAATATGAACATGTCGTCTTTTTTCCTAGCTTGTTTAGAACTAGGAATGGTTGCACCAAATGGACTTACATGAATTGCCTTACATTTCAGACACTAGAAAGATAAAGCATTGCGTGGAGTCGCAGTCATCTTGTCATTCAACAGCGACGACGAGTTTCCGTATTGAAACTTTCAATTTTCATCCATTTGGTCATCTGAGAATGTGCTAGAGTAATACAAAAGACTTATTATCGACCTTTGTACTATTCAATCTCGAAATACTCGTTGTAGAGTAAGTTTGGAAGGATAACCATTGGCAACTTCTGTGCAACAATGGATCTATACTTTATAATTTTTTATTATAAAAAGAATTGTTCATTGTTTCAAAATGAAACAAAAATTAACGTGATTTTAAAATATTAATTTTTGAAAAATATTTGATTTTGTCCTTCAGTCAAGCTCATACAAGTCGATATTAACCTGTGCATTACTAGTAAAGTTGTGATCTATCAAAATCAGAAAAATGAATTTCGAAAAAAATGTAAAGCCTCATCAATGACTAACTCACTTTAGTAGAGAGAGCGCATGCTTAGCATAATGCACGAAAAATCAGATTAAAATCGATCAGAATTTAATTAGAAATTGATTTTTCTAATCAAAATTGAATCAATTATAAATGAAATAAATCAGAATAATCCACGTAATTTTGATTGCTTTTGATTATAACCGATTCCTAATCGATTTTATTCTGATTTTTCATGAAATGTGATTTTTTTCATAGGAAAGAGTCAGATGTATTTCTCCAGAATTAAGTTCTGGATTAAATAGATTTCTTTAACTATACTAGTTCGAGTATTACCAAGTGTCTAAAATCAGAAAAGTCAGTGAGATAGATGAGGAAATCATTATCAGCTAACTACTTCATTATTGACGAGCAGTTATGTGAATCTATAGCAATATTCATCCTACATGTTTTTCTATGTTAAGATCTTCTCGATGATAAAACGAGGCATCTTTTCACGACCGATAGACATGTACAAAACCAAAGACAATCGATTGCAGCTAGTTTTCCTTGATTGAAAATGATCATGAATCTTTTATTTATTACCGAGAGAACTTAATTCTTAATCAATATATCGATTCTCATCAGATTCTTCTTACTAAAAATGGAAATACTTGCAATCATGGCTCAAAAGTTTGTCACTGTGAATAACATCCTATTGCAAGTAATGAGACGACGAAATCTAATTATCAAATAGTCTTGTAAATCCTACCGAATAATTGTCTGTATAACGAGATATCGAACAAATAAAAGTATTGAGCATATATTTATCAATACAATGTTGTATTCGCGTTGGTCCCATCAGCAGACACTAACTATTACGTTTGTCAGTTGTTGAACAACGATCAATTCTATAAATAAAGTCCCATATATGCAAATAGTATGACAAAACTTACAACGTAGTCTCTACAGGATTACAATATGAAATACGATTAATATATTCCACTCGTTACGGAGAACCTTATTCATATTTATTATATTATTCATGAGGCTTAGATAAACTGACATATTAAAATATCTATTATGGTCTCTGACATTAGAATACTTAACTCATTCTGCCTTTTTATTACGATCTGTGGGAGGGGGAGGGGGAGAAAAGCAGTCAAACTATCTCGCAATATACGTCTTCGCTCGTTTACCACCATGTTTTACAAAATCGAGCTGTCTCTTATACATACGAATAGAGAATATTTTCCCACTGGTAAATTTTTTATTTGTACGTCAATAAGAACAGGTAAGAAAAAAAAAATAAAAAAGAGAAACCAATCGTATATACAAGCATTCATCCATATCACAGAACAAACACAAAAACATGAAAAAAATTGCGTTACTACTTCAGAAAAAGCATGATAAACAAAATAGAGAAAGAAATGAAGAACGAATGTAATGAAGCGACGCCTCGTCATCAAGACGCTACGTTGGAAACATTCGTAAAAACAGTGAAATCGTATTTACTCTCAAGCGGACCAACATTCAACAAAAAATTAATAATAAAAAATGCAAAATTTTCCTTCTCAAAGGATAGTTAATCATTGATAATAAAATCGATTGTATTTGATCACCGTTTTGTATCATTGAATATTTAATAAATATTCAACTTCTTTGTTTAGTAATATATCTTTTTTTCTGAAAGTTAAATCAATTGTAGGTACTTTGATTATCAAAATTTTATGTGAATTCTTGCGACTTACCTAGGAAATCTAGTGACGTCGTCTTTACAAATTAAGCAATAAAATCAATAATCATACATCAATAAGTAAATTATCGAACACTAAATAAATCTATCTACGAAAGATTGTATTGAAATGGTTATTTAGAGTATTTAAGAGTCAAATTCTATTTGAATCTCTATATTAGTTGTATTGCAAATAAACGATAATTTTCAAATATCGTCATTATTTCTGATTGAATTGGAGTCATTTTTTGGTTCACGCATTATTCAAAAGTAGTACTAAAATTATGAAAAGTATATTTGACAGCTTGAATAATGATACAAAACTACCTAATATACGCTCACTTTATCGAATTTTTTTAACATATATATAGCTGACCATAGAGTAGCTGTAGAAAATCGATGAGAAGCTAGCACGAACACGACACATTACCTACCACGAAGGGTGATTTTTTGTTTCATTGGCGATATATTCAACCAATAAATACTCAAAGTGACAGAGAGCATCAATATAGAGAAAATATTGTTGGACATGACTTAAACTTTTATTTGATCTGAAATGTTTTATGAATTGTACAGCCTGGTAGTTTAATGATTAACATAAATGTAAATATTTCCAATCATATGTTGAATATTCTCTATTTTCAACATATATCTGACGTTAGTTATTGCAACAATAATTACCAGTTAAAACTCGAAAAGAAACGAAAATTTCGATATTGCTTTTTCAACAAAGATGTGAATTTTTTTAGTTTCTGTCTTCTTTTCTGAATTAACCCGTTCAATCCCGTATATCATTTATGACATGATATGCACAAAGGAAAAAGAATTAAGTTGGATTCTTTCGTCTTCTTAGACGTCGAACATCATATGATTGTAATAGCTGAACGTAAGAAAATGTCAAGATTGAAAGGGTTAACGATTTTTAACACAGAAAACTACATCTATCTCTATTTATATGTACATTTTTATCAAAATCAGAACACCGAATAAAAAAAATGATGTGCTGACGCAACTATATTAATTGTTTTTTATTGTGAAAAAAATTTAAATATAAATAGAAGAACAACTGACGTACTTTTTATCATTTTTATTCAGACGTTTCGTTATGACCTCATAACATCATCAGTCATTAAAAATGAAACAAAAAAATAATAATCAAAAGCGAAAAAGTACTTTTTCTTATTGTTTATTTATTTCATTTCGATGATTGGTGATGCTACGAGTTCATAACCAAACGTCATGGCAAAAATTGTGTCAGTTCTTCTGCAGTAATATTATTTCATCAACGTATGAAAACTTGAAGATCAATTAGAACAAAAAATTCTAGAATATAAAAAACGAAATGATAACAGTTGAATAATGGAAAAAACTTGAACATTACGTCATTAATAATAATATTTATAAAATGTGTGATAAACTAAGGGTGTTGGTGCGGGTGATTCTTATTCCAACTACCCACACCATCCACATCCTTTGTTAAATAAATACTCTTTTATAGTTCTATTAATGCTATATTGCTGCTCATACGTAAGGATTAATAAATAAGTTACTATTTATTCAAAAAACATTGGTACAATAAACCCGTAAAAAAAACTCAGCAAAAAATTTCTACAGTTAGTTCGCAGTGGTCGCCACCACCCGCACCTCGTATTTTAAGGCGCAGTATATATTTCCAGAACACACTTTACATTTTAATCAACGATCATCAATAAAAGGAAAACTTTGAAAGATGGCAGCAATATTTAATCTAATCAATGTTGCTGCTAAAACGCCTTTTCATTATGTCGAGAAAAAAAAAACCAAGTTCTCACTTCAAAATCATCATTTTTGGAGTGAATTGAGAACAAAAGGAACTTCGTAACAATGTTTGAACGAAAATCATACGATTCTTTGACCAAAGTGGTAAATATGATTTTACTTTTCACTTCGTCGGTTCAACTACCATATGACCCTGATATACACATTTATATAATCATTCACTAAGTAACCGCTCACACTCTCCTTTCTTTCGACGAAGTTTGGCATAAATTGTTGCATTTTGGTTAAACTTAGAATTCATTTAGTTCATACTCTTCTGTCGTTGTCCTATAGTGATTCTGCTAAACAAAACAAAAAAATAGGACGGCCTGAACCATCGACTTCTACAATAAGATCCTTTCGCTGCATGAAAAATCAGAGCCCACTATGTTTAGAATAGTTAGTATCTACAGAGTTCCAGAATAATCTAAGCACTGATATTACTTACGCGCATTTTCCCATTAGGAGAGCCTAAAGGAGGCGAGAGTGAGAGAGATGGGGCGCAAAATCCTCAATTTAAACTTATACTCACTATTATTTTCTTCGAAAATATACGTGAGTTAAGACAGAAATGATATCATCTATTATTGTGTAAAAATCAATTACTTCATTCATGTGAAACAAAGAAAACGTTTCTAAATTAGTTTTGCCATAGATGACAAACGATTGTTCCATTCCACTATTGTAATAAAAGACCATTGAAGTGTATATAGACGAATAACTTGATAGTGATTCATAAATTTTTGGTTATTTTGATATGATCCAAGTCAAACGCATTACTCTCATTTTTTGTTTGAAATCTGCTTCTTATATCATATATTGTATCAGAGCAAGTGGAAGATGACGATGCTCAGGAAATTAACTTGAAGAATTCAACAAAATCTAAATAAGAATATAACATATTATGAAAACTTAATAATTATTTTAGTTTTGGAAGACAAAATACTTTTTTGCAGGGCTATAACGTTGAGATTTCTTGTAGTTATTTAGTAATATATAAAATAATTGTGTAAAAAAAATTGATATTCAATAAACAAAGCATTCTTTTAGTTTGAAAATAGAAAAGCAGTTGGCATTATGAGTAAGTTGTTAAGACTTAACACTTTTCAAAAATCATACAGTATTGGTTCTACATATCAAATCAAAGTATAAATTGTACGAGTTGACTAGTCTGATTCATCTGAGACATCGAAACATGATTTTATTGCAACACTGATATCATGTAACTTCCGCTTGTCGAATATAGGTTTTAAATATTTACATTTATCTTTTCCATCAAATAGATGGTTCAAAATCTAGAATACAAACTGATTCGTTTTCCTTCTTAAATATTTTCCTAGTAAAAACTCTTCTTGTTATTATCAAGATAATAACTTTCTAGTATAGCATGAAATGTCAACAATTCAATATTACTCACATAATAAATAGTGAAGATAAGTAGCTCCAATATAATATGAAATTCAAAAAACTATATATAACTATATTCTATGTCATTTAGTTTATTGTGATTTGATAAGATTTGGATATAGTTTCAAAAAATAAAAAAAAAATAATTCTTTTAAGACAACAGAACATTCGATAAAAGCTATCTCATCGAACGAATATATAGTTTTTCGACATTCAATGTTTGATTAATTAAGACATCCTTCGGTCAGAGTTCTGGATTCGAAATTTTTTAGCTTCATCGTATTTCATTTCTCATATCTTGTATGTAATTAAAAGTCTTTTTATCTAATGAACACACTTTGACAAGTCAATATCTCAGGCATTTCTAAATATAGAAAACTGAGAGAAACTCGATGTTATACTAAACAAACTAAAAAGTGAGTGATATGTTTTTTTTCTGCAGAAGAAAAAACTTCAAACTGTACTAGGTCGTTACTATTCAAAGGTCTTCGGTAAGAGAGCATTTGAGAACTTTAAATCTATATCAAATTGTATTCTACTCATTGAGATCTTTCAGCCTTGAAGATTTAAATAATTTTCACTCAATTTTTCTCGAGCAATCTTTAAAAGACAGATCTGCTTCAAGTGCATTGTAACATGATTTATTTCTTTTCATATAATATCTTATTGCAATACTTTTCTTTTTTATAGCTTTATATCTGTAAACAGAAATGTTGACTCACGGACATATTACCACTTCATTCGTGTCACCTACAACATCCAAAAGAAGAGAACGAGTCAATCAATTTGAAAAATTCTTTAGTTACGACAACACGAAAAACAACTTATACATGGGTTCCTCTTCATCAGTAAACAATTTTACTTTTCACGAAGCTTGTCGAAAAGGTGATGTCGAAAGCGTACGTAAATTATTACCGACAATGAAGTATAAAAAAATTAATTGTCGAGGACTTGATGGTAATACACCATTACATTTGGCCTGTGAAAGTAATCATAAAGAAATTGTTTCTTTGCTATTTGACGAACGAGATTTATGTTCAAGAACAATATTAAACAATAAAGGATTAACAGCTTATGAAAGTACAAAATCTGATGAAATACGACAACTATTCCGTCGTCCAACTACATCAGGTGATCAACGGTTCTATGATAATAATGTTACTTCTTCTTTACAACCGATACCAAGCACAACAAATCTTACTCATCAATCATCTATACCGATTCCAGATGATTGGCTACGTGGTCATACGAATGCTGAAAATGCAGTTGATGGACAATTTATGCTTGCTTTAACACAAGCTCCTTGGTTTATTAAAAAATTCTTGAAAATACGCACTGAACGTGAATGTCAAGAATATGTCGAACTTCTTCTAGAAAAATGTATCACAAAAAATTTATCACAACGAGAAAAAATTATGGAAGAATATAATAAATATAAACGTACGAAGTGTATTTACTCATTGCTTACTATTTATACTATGAATACGCCCATATATGGAGCACTTCAAACTGAAACAAGTGCTTATGCAACTATTCTTTTTCTTCATCTGAATGAATTGATTAATCGAACATTTATAGGACAAACATATCGTGGTGCAAGTATGACTCAAAATGCTATTGAAGCTTACAAATGGGCACAAAGTTCTAAAGATTATATTTTAGAAACACGTACATTTCAATCAACATCAAAATTGAGAGCTGTAGCAGAAATGTTTAGTGAATCTGAGGTTGAATCAAATCAAATATCTGTCATAATCACTTACATATTTAAAGAAAAATGTTCTACTGCAATTGATTTAGGTGAACTTTCGAATTTTCCTGAAGAATGTGAAGTATTATTATTTCCATTTACTACATTCAGAGTTGAAAGTATCACTATTGATTCTGCAAATGGATTCTGTAACATTTCTCTACTCTACATACCATCTACTCAAAAATCTTTCATTTCTTCATGGTTACATGTAAAAGCGTGACTATATATTGTCATAATTTTTTTTGTAATATGTAATTGAAATGAGAAAAATAAAAATACAATTGAGTAATCTTGAGAAAGCAATTTTAAGACCATCGAGTGCACGAGATATTCAATAACATTTTTTTTTCGCATTCATTGCATCAATGCCTGAAATCACAAATGTCAAAATTTTAGCGTTCAATACTTTGTTTTTCATAAGTTAGTCAAATGTCGATTTAATACCGCTATCATATCGTTATAAGAAGAATCAGCAAAAAATACTGTGTAAAAGATGTGCTTATTTTCGTTTTAATGATTCACTGAAAACTTTTTAATAAATATACCAAAATATATATATAGAAAAGTTTTATAAAAACTAACATGAATGAAAAATGACTCTTTTGATGAGTCTAAAATATTCATTTTATAACAAGTTATCTTTCAATTTTATGTATGTTATGCAACCTTTTATTCTCTCCAAATTTAAAAAGAAATGATATATTTAGGACGAAATCGAATTCACAGCTTTCTCTTGTATATTGTTTTCTAATGATTTTTCAAAATAAAAAAAAAAAATTTTTTTTGGCGGTTTCCATTGTCATGATAAAATTTTAAAGCAAAATAAATACGGCATTCTTAATTAGCGTCAACAAGTACATTGAGTCAAATACATTTTAGAAAAATTCTTTTCTTGCAAAAAACTGACTCATGAGAGACGCAACAGGTGAATCTTTCATAGGAAAACAAAATCTCTAAAATATGTTTGACTCAATGTGTAATTAACGTATCACTTATGTTTGAATATTTTTCACCATTTTGTAGAGAATATAAAGTTGAGTAACATATATAAAACTTAAGCTTGAAAATCTTGGATTCACTCTCTATCTTTTAGTATAGTTTACAACATATTTTGAGTAATTCGTTGTAGTGAAAACTTTTTTGTGGGCTTTTCTCATATGACTATGAGAAAAACGTATTGAACGCTAAAATGTTGGCCTTAGCGATTTCAGACATTAATAGTCTCATCATTACTCTCTTAATTAATACTTTTATTACAAATTATGATAGATAACATGAACTTTTGTTATAAAAACAGATTTGAAAGTCAATATGGATATATTTTAGTGAATTTCTTAATTTATTAACACAAAAGAAGAAGTATAGGCATCATCTTTTTTTGGGACAGAAGTTTGTAAGGTTTTACAAAAAAAATCTTGTAATTCTAACGCATTACATCTGAAATACTTGTAACTAATCAAACAAATATATCAATCTTATGATTGTATTGGAGAGTTTTCAGTCGAGTTCATTTCTATTTTTGTATCGACTTGAGTACGTTCGACGGATGTCATTTCTCTATGAGTATTCACTAGTACATTTTCACTTGTAATTATCTCTAATTTGATATCTGCTCGAGCATTTTCTATCGATGTTTCTTCTTTTCTGATATCCACTGGAGTAGTGTCGATGTCTGTGTTTGGAACTAAAACAAAATCATGGTATGGAACAATTGAAAGAAATATGTTGTACTCTACCTGTTTTATTAAAAGTCATATGAAGTGTTGGAACAATTCTATTTTCCTTGTTTCTATTACATATACTAAAACAACATTTACGTGTTGCTTTAGAAATGATATATATGGAACCAATAAACGAACAAATAGCTAAGATAAAATATAATACACGACTATAATTATAAATAAAATCTAGGCAGTCTATTGAATTGTTAGGTAAATCAAATGCAGCTCGTGTACCCTATAGAAAGAAATATTATCTTACAAATCGAATCTATCGTTTCAAATTTGTGCTCTTACCGGCGCAACTGCCCATCCTAAAAGAGCGCTAGCAAAACCAATTGCAATAATAAATGCTATACGAAATTTTTTATCACTTGATTTATATCCATATGTTATTGATAATATAATCTTAATAAAATATTATATTAATGCAAAAACAAAACAATCAATAAAACTTACTAATAAAGTTAGCAAGCAAGCAAGTAGAAAACTCATACTGCCAAGTACTAATAACCATATAGTAATAGACGGTTGACGAGGAAAATAACAATTTCGAGTATATGCAATAGCTCCAATAATTGTCGACATTAATCCGAGAATAGCAACAAAAATTAACAGAAAGATAAGAATTAATTTTCGTAATAAAAGTGAAATATGAGATTTGATTCCTTCAGTGATGGCTCCCACTTTTTCAGGTGGACCATTGATTGATGCAGTTTTTCTATCTCCAAATTCATTAATAAAAGGTTGTTGACCTCTTGAATTGAATGTAAGATTTGCTCCGGTACTAAAACCCAACTGAAGTGAAAACCATATTGCTTATTTAATTTCTCTAAGTTAAATATCTATATATTACCTCCATATTATTGAAATTGTCAATTACAATATTAATATTTTTATCATTTCGAATTTCTTTATATATACATGTATGTCATGCACCTTGATACTAATTAACGACCATAATGAAAGGGAATAAACCAAGCGAATTTTAATGGTAAACTGTACGCATATGATTTTTAAGGAAGTGACTTTTTTTCTTTCTCTCATCTTAACGGGACATGTCAGTATTGAAAAGTATTCAGTTTTTTTTAAAAATATTTCTATGTAAGAAAGAGAAAAGAAGAAAAATAATATTGGAGAAATTATTATTTGATGCTTAAAAAAGACTTTCTCTTGTCCAAGTTGAAGAATAATTGTAATTTTAATACCAAGGTAAGCAAAAGTCAGGAAAGTAATTGTTTTCTGAGTGATGAATCATTGTGGCATTCGCGGGTGGCACACAGTTAATAATTGCCCTCACTGCAATGCATGACATAAACAATGATTGAAAGAATTATCAAAAAGAATTTTATTGAGAAAATCTTTCTTTCTCCAACAATAAATTTTGACAAATAAATTATAACAAATGACAGAAAAGCAGATGCCAGAAATATAAAAATAAGAAATGTTATTTTATTGATATTAGTATTTTTCCGGTTCGGCGACGCAAATATTACTTTTCTCACTGTGCTAAATTAGCATACTTAGATTGAATCCATCAGATACATGACGATTCTGAATGTTGAACTTGTAGACAAATTAATTGAGTGCAAAACTCATAGAATTTTACAATCTTCCTAAAAAAGAAAACTGTCATGGACATTTCTAGACTATTGCCCTCACTCTCAAGGCAGTAAGTTTCTGATATCTTAGCTATTTTTTGGAATGATTGGATTTTAGTTCAAATTCAATGATTTTTTTGTAAATTTTTAGTAATTTTCACACTATGAATTTTCTGTCTAGAATTCTGTATAAATATAGGATGTCCAGAAAGTAACTAAACAAAGATAATTTTGATTGCCTTCGCCATATTTCAACCATATGGGCTGATACTCTTATCCGTGACAAAGTAGTGTTCATAGCTTACAGTCACAAGAGAAACATTGTTAACAATCGTTTTTAAGTATTTACTATATTGACTTTAACAAAGAACTGTAATCTTTCACAAGTTGTGAAAAAAAACAATATATTTATTTCCTTAGCTAAATATAAATAACATTTAACTTTTTCGATTAATATTTCAGACTAATATCGCTCGAGCTCATATTTATACTACAGATATGTCTTGTTACTCTTTTGTATTCTGAAAGCTTCAGCTATAAATATTAAGGATTTGTTAACAAAACTGCAAAATTAGTTTTTTTTTTAATAACTCTTGAAATGTTGCAGATCTTTGTTGAAGACAGTTGTACTAATTAAAAACAATTTTTGAAAATGTTTCTCTGATAAATATGAACTACAAACACTTCTTTATCAATAGTAAAAATACCAGCTTATATGATGGAAATATTCAAAATTTTCTTTGTTTAGTTACTTTTTGAACACCCTATAGATCGTAGTTATTATTGAGATTGCTTAGCTAATTCGTACATACATATAACTATGGTATTCTTTTCACTATATAAAATTCTATATTCGTATTGAAAAATAAAATAATATAAACAAAATTGAAAGATTATTTATTCTACATAGTTTTTCATCACATATTAAAAATGTTCTATAAAATAATACCATTGTATAATAATGATAAAAATAAAACAAAGAATATTCAAAATTGTACATTGATTGAAGGTCTTTGATGTACGAGAGATACAAATAGAAAATGTCTGTGAATAGATATTATTACATTCAAAAGGATATATCATTCTACATGATGTAACACATACTGCATCATCAATACACAATGGAATAAGAAAGTCAGGCATTTGAATAGGATTACAAGCTAATCCAATACAACATGAACAAGAACATCGATCGTCCATTGCCGTTATTGTCGTTGAAATATTTATAAAATGGACAATTAACGAAAAGAGTATCGCTGTTGTTATAATCATTTTTTCTATGATAAGAAAAAGTTCAATTTCTTATGCAAAATAATTCAAAACTTACGATAAGAATTTCACATCATTTAGTCATATTGAAGGTTAAAAAAGTAATGTTAATAATAGTTGATACAATGATAAGCGATATATAAAGTGACTATTTGCTTATAAGTTTAACCGTTCTTTTGTATATGTCTTAGAATTTCATTGTCAACTATGTCGTAAATATTTCGTGGTTGCATTTCTTTTTCTTTTCTTTCTTAAATCATCTTGATAATTCAGGATCACAATAAGCAGAAGTACAATGAAGAAAATTCTGTTTTTAATAAAACAACAGAATAGAACAAAAACACATCTGTCTAGAAATATAGTTATCTTTGCTCATATTAATAATAATAATACAAAGTAAGTTTCGAAGACCATGCCAATATTATGATGCATGACTCAGATCTGCTTTTTTGATTATCGTGTCTTTCATTTATTTTATCTCTTGTTTCTGCTCTATCATAATCTTATTCTTCTTCGACCTAAACACTTGTATCGAAATCTTATACAATTCAATTCAAAGAATTTCGTCGGAACTTTAGTTTATCAATTTGATTTGTTGTTATTGGGAAATATTCTATTCAATTTCCTTTTTTGTTTATCTTTATACTTTCAATACAAATCTTGAAATTCCATAAATAATAAGAAATTATTGTAAGAAAGCACGTTAACTCAAACAGTCAATTCAATGCATAATAACAGTACATGTCATTTCGTAATAAATAGAATCAGTTATAGTACTGTTTATTGTTGTTAATAAAAAGTCTTCTTATAAAGGACATTATAAAAATCTTTTATCACCATTGACACTCAACTGATTGTTATTCACATGCTGTCAACATGTCATTTTATTCATACTTGAATCAATGGAAATATGTGCCTATCTAAAGTATTCGTTTACGTCAATTAAAACCATTGAATTGAAATGATGTCTGGTGATTTTATTGCACTGGTCTTTGATGAAGACATTTGTCACAGACGGTCTGTGACAGAATATCCGAACAAACAACTGACGAGTTTGAGCATCGCAGTTGATAAACTACGAATATCATCGAAATGCATATGAGTAAGAATGAAATTCCAGCCAACAAACTGAATAATGGTCCGAATTGCATCAATGTCAGCAAAGGAACTGTGATAATAATGCCGATACCAGAACAAATAAAATTGAGTGAATTGATAAGTGCAAGAATGCTGCCAGCTGTGGCTGGCTTTTTGACATTGACAAAGGCACAAGCACTAGTATACATGAAAGCTTGACCGAAACAAAACATGGACGAGCCAATCAATGGTAAAGCTAAATGAATACCAAAATGAAAAGTCCATCCACATAATAGCAAACCAAGTGGACATAGTAGAGAACCAATCAAATTCAGGATGAGTCGACCTTCCATCGCTTGAGAGAAACGTTTCGCTGACCAATCAGAAACCCAACCACCACTTAAACTTCCGAGCAGAGAAGATACACCTGTTGGTATATAAGAAAAGCCAATATGAAGTGGAGAAAGTGCATAAGGATTTTGACTTTCTCGATTAGACATCAGAGTAAGTGAAATGAATAAAGCGGCACAATTGATATTGCAAACAGCCACATATGGTGCAATCGTCATATCGAAAAGGGCTAAAAGTGGACGCCAGGGTAACATAAAACGAGGTTTCAATATTGTGTTTGCCTCGCGTATAAATATTGGATTTGTTTGATTCTTCTGGTGACGTTTCTTTTTCACACCATGTAATAATCGTTGAAGGACAATATAATGATGAGTTTCAGGAACAAATAGAAGAATCATTAGAACAGAGATCACAGCCATAATCGCTAATGAGACGAAAGTGCTTCGCCATCCGAATGTATTCGATAAAACACCACCAATGAATGGACCTATAATAGGTCCAATAAGAACGGGTACGAGAAAAAGGCCTATAGCAAAACCAAATTCATCCGACGGATACATATCAGCAATAGCGCTCTGTCCAACAACAAGTAATGCTGATATTGCTGCACCTTGTAATGAACGAAATATGAATAGTACAATAATAGTTCGAGCTAGAATACATACGATTGTAAAACCGAGAAAAATGGTAAGAGCTACTAGAAGGATAATCTTGCGCCCGAATCGATCGCTTATTGGTCCCCAAAATAAACTAGATATTCCGGCTGCCATTAGATAGGTAGAGATCGTATAATCGACCAGAATAGTACTCGCATGCAGGTCATGCTCGATATTAGCCAATGCTGGCAAATAAACTGAGTCAGAATACGGTAATAGAAGACAGGATAAAGCGAGAATAATCAAAATGAAAAGGCGATGCCGGTTCGAACGAACTTCGTATATGCTAATGGACGAGTCGGAAACGATAACGACGGATTTTTCTAATGTCGCCGATAGTAAGGTCGGATTCAGAGTTATCGAGCCGTTGGATGATGTCTTCATTTATCGATGCACACACTACGATGCAAAAGTTCGACTGCTTCAAAAGATTAAATAGTGCTATGATGAGGAAGATAAGAGAACATTTGAAAATTGATCGTAACCTATACATAGAACGAACATTAATTTAAAAAAAAAAGATGACCTTTACTCAACACGATAGTATACAGTGAAAAACTCAAAGAATGATAATCGATCAGCGTATCAACTTGGTGACATCCGATAATCAAGAGCCAGTTGTATTGAATCTGTCGTTGTTGTTTTTGATTTACTTTGCTGGAAAAAAGGGTGATTATTTCGTCGTGTAAATATCGAACGATTAAGAAAAAAAGACTACTTTCGTGCCAATTTGCTGAACTACAGCGAGTTTGATGAAGAATGTTCTTTAATTGAATGGAGTATAGTCGATAAACAAGGATCAAATAGTTATCACAGTCACTTTGAATACTTTTTTATTAGTAATTCTTTTGATGCAATGATAGACCAGAAGAATTATTATGCTGGAGACTAGTTAGAAAATTTCAATCTTAAATCGTTCATTCATTCCATGCTGATATTCAGGATTATGATGGAGATTTCAAGATTATTAGACTGATGAAAACAAAGTGAACACTGAAAAATCCAAACTCAGTCGAAACGGATGTGTTCGCTTCACATCGATTCTATATAGGTTATATTTCCTTAATGCATCTTCAGAAAGGAACAAATAAATTCATCTTGATTTCCTTCAAAAGAATACAGACGAGAAAAGATTCCAGAATATAATGATTCTTATTGTGTTTATCAGTGTTATTCATAGAAGTCGCATTCTCCAGAAAACTACCTTTCAATGAGAAAACAATTGAGATCTGTAGAAATACAAACTTATACCAAATATCTCCGGATTTACAGAAGGTTACCATTGGCACAGTCACAATAGAGAAAATTGTTCTTTTTTTAATGAAACCAACATTAATAGCATTGCTTATTAAATAAAACGGCTGTGATCAGGACCAAAAATTCTTATTACTATTTACCGAATGAAGTCAATGTCCTTTGGACATTGATTCCAGCACCATTAGCATTGGTTGTAGATTCGCTCGGTATTTGAATCATTATCATTGAAATATGTTGTTTCTGAGTTAATTATGACGCTAATACGCGTTTTCTTCATTTCTCTTTTCTTTTTGTGTTTCTTGCACTCAATATCCGTAGATCTGAAGATCATGTATAGAACAAACTTCGTGTTCATTTCGTCAATAAAAAGAATAGTAAATGTTTGCAAAATTGTAGTTACAATCAATTCCATTCAGTATGGCCTACGCATTAAAAATTTAAAATAACTATATATGAGGTTATAAAATACGAAAAAAATCTTTTTTCGAAGACTAAAATATATCAGTTAGCAATAATAGAAATAAAAACATGTTGTTATCTAAAAAAATTTTTTTTATCAGGTTTTAATTGTATTTGTTATCTTTTGAAGTAAAAAAATTAATAAAACATATTGAAAACTAATGTCTTTTTCATTATAATCTATCGTTACAAAATAAACCTCACATTTTTTTCTTTCGACGCAATAACAAAATCAAACAAGTTATTTACATTGTTCTTTCGTTGTTTCTTCATTAATTTTAAAATAATATCTCATATTTTTTCTTTCTTTTCTCAACAGTACAACGCTGATGAAAAAAGGGTATTGTTTTTATAAAAACTGGTTAAAATATGATTTGATCAACCTTGAAGGGGTGTGGGTGTGAGTGTGAGGATGTGAGGGTAAATTAGGCCGAATAGAAGGCATCCACCCATCAGCATACCTTCACCCTTCGTACATTTACGGATAATGATTGTAGTTGCTAGAAATCTCGTTTACGAACAGAATCAATTCATCGTATTTCACATTGAATCCGACTGAAATTCTGCTGAGGATTTTCACATCTCTGCATAAGTCTCAATCGGATTCTGTATTGAACACAGACCAAAATACATTGCGGCGCTGTTCTTCATGTTTAATGGTGTTAATAAAGACCTGGGAAGATTCAAGCTTCTTCTTAAACGCAAGCATCTATCACTGTTGATTTGCATGATAAAGCGTCAGATAGAAAATTGTTTTTCTGGCACAGATTCATCGCAAAAATTCACGAAGAAGAATGTTTTTCGGCAACAGAAAAGAAGTCATTGCATACTGATTAATAAGAAAGTGATCAACAAAGGTGGTTTCACTGGAAGTCTAGGATATCAAATTTTTGTGTTCGCTGATGAGAGAAGGAAATCACACGAGAATAATTTTCTGGGTATAGATTCTGCACAGCATTAATCGATCGATCTCATGCATATGTGAAGACAAGACATATGCCCACAAGATTATCTCAGCAAAAGGGGTGTTGTATTAGAATTTGCATTGAATAATCGTTATTTCTAATAATAATACATAAACTACACATTAAGCTCATAAATTTTCAAAACCGAACAAATTTGTTCTGTCATCGAAAACTTTGGAATCTAACTCTCAAAAGTATGATTGCAGGTAGCACATGTATTAAAATTCAAAATAATGCTAATCTGATACCCATACTCAACACCCAGTTATAACACAATTGAATACTCTGTGAAATTAGCATCCATATTTTGCTTCAGTACGATGAATGTAGTTGGATTTCGAGATACTACGAATGCTTGTTCGATTTCTCAATTCTATCAAAAACAAAAAAAAGTCGAAGCCCAATGATAGATATTCAAGTCTCTAGGCGATGCTCTATCGATCTAGAATCGTCGATAAACTATCAGAGAAAACAAGGTGTCTTTCAAGATTGAGCTCGACTTCTTGTTCCAAGTTTTCCGAATTTTCAACTTTCATTGTTACTCATAACGCATGAGAATAACGAGTGTTTGATGATTGAAATGATTTATTCTCTGACTTCGTTCAATCATCTTGCCTCAAATACTCGACCCTTATTGATTGATTCGAAAGGAGAAAATTGAATTTCTGTCAGTTTGTTTGTCCTGAAAATCAGATCCGAGTAAAGAAGAGGTGTGCTGGGACGTGACAAAAGTAAAATTCTATACAGAGTTGCGGAGATCTTCGTGCAATTCCGATGGGCAGACGAGTTCGTGCGTGCAGTTTGGAATGATTTGACAGGGAATGTTATTTCTTTATTTTGAAGGTGTGAACATAGAAAATATGTTTAACTCTTACATGAATCAAGCGAAAGTAAATCATCAATGAGAGATTAGGTTGAGACAGGTGTGATCTTGTTTGTACCCTTAGGCACATGAGAAACCTTAACAGATGAATCGTTGACCTGATCGTCAGTAGGGTTCTGTGATTCTTTTGCACTTTCATTCGGTTCTTCATCGATGTTGAATAGACAACCTGCTAACCCAACAATGAAGCAGTTAAGGCAAACGATATAAGCCAAGACGGAAAAAGACACCTTGATTATAGGGGGTAAAACGATCATCACGAAAAAAGTACAAATTGAAATCAATAGTATTACAAATGCAACAATGGTATTTGCTTGAAACATAAATGCAAAGAGTGTGCCAATCACGGCTAAAATTCCACCACAAACACCAATTTGATTACACCACGCGTTTGTTCCATTAATGGGTATCGTTGGAACAGTGTTCGACGTACAATTAAACACACCTGCCGTAGGTACACTAGAAGTATTGTCGAAAGCAAAACAAGTCATTGGATCACTAGGACACTCATCACCTGAATAAAGACCTGCACTAGCTAGAATGCATCCTTCGAAAAGAGTCATCAATGCCATTGATAAAGTCACAGCACCAACAACAGTGAGAAAATGTTGGTGAACCCATGGGGCACGCGATTTGACCGGTTGATCATCAATTGTTATTTCAAAACAACTAACTTTCGTTTCATTCGTACTTCCAGCATTGCCATCATTGTTCGTGAGTTCGTAGATAACTTTGATACCGAAAAGACGACCATTGAGAAAGCTGTAAATACGGGGAGCGAATTGTGAACATAAATAAAGAATCACTGCCGATAATATGAGTATAGCAACTCCGATAGATACATGAATTGCTATGTAATGTCCAAATTCTAGTACCATGATGGTTATCTACAGTCTGTCGAAGCACGAAAGTCGGTATGATTTGTAATTATTTATATATATATAGCTTTGTTGAAGTTTTATATTCGACTTTTCTTGAAATTTTTCTCTTTTGTTTTTCTTTGAAATCAATTCGTCTCCATTGGCAAAGGTGCTCCTAATGTTGACAAAGCGAATTGCAGTAGGCGTGATAAATAAAACCCAAGTAGGTGTTTTTGACTTTTTTTCCACTCTGAGCAATATTACTACTTTTCAATTATTTTGCAGAAAGAGAAAACGTCCAGAAATGAATCACTGAAAGCCGGATTGAGTTATGTGTAAACAAACGAATCCCACAAAAGAAAAAAGACCATAGTTCGAACTGAATGAGAAAACGATTGTGAGCAGAATGAAAAATTCGATTATTATCGGCCGCTGTCTTATTGATATCTAGAAACAGAATCTCATTTCATTACCGAAAACGTACGTCTAGTGCCAGAGACCAATGCTATTTTTGAGCATACTTATGAAGAGCAGTGTATCACATGAAAAAAGCCAAACCTCATGCGAACATGAACTAAATACTATCAGACATATTGATTCTGTTATTCTTTTTGAACTTCTTGTTTTAGATCTCTTTTTTGAGTAGAGTTTTTATATTTTCATAGTTCTTCTCATTGTATCCTCCGCAGATTCTGAAGACTAGTCAAACAAAAGATAAAATTCAGAGCTTAGAACAGTGCATCTAGACATATCTCATATAGTCCGCATTTCTGAAGTTTAGAAGCTATATAGCTGTGTAGCTTTTAGAAAGAGCTATCCAAGAGTAAAACCCTGAATGCCTTACCTGATAACATTCATGTATTACTATCTAAACAATCATTCCTTTATTGTTCATATATTTATAAGGTACACTCATAATCTTGACCGAGTTGGATACGACAAGAATATTATTCTTAAATACCTTCTTCAACATAGCTTCGTGCATCGAACATGAATTTGACGTCTGTTTATGGTTTGTGCAAAAGATTAGACCGCTTTTACGAGCAAGACTAATGGGCTCGCCGTTAAAATAAAAGTCTTCCAAAAAAATTTTCTAATCGAAATTTTTAGAAATAAAAGGTTTACAAATGCTAAGAATTTCATCGAACTTAGACATTAACGTTGTATGTGCGATTGAGATTCGATGGAAATATCCATTTCATATTATTTATTATCTAACAATGAAGAGCGAAAATTTTTTGTTATCCAGACAAAATTTGCTTTTGTATTACGTTTTAATTACATTGGTTATTTTTTCTTTAAATAAACAAAACTAAAAAAATTAATAAATACATATCGAATAACTTGCATGCTATTCTTTGCGAAAAGAGAAACGTAATTTCATATTCATTATTCTCCATCATTACAGAATAAAACTTATATTTTTTTCAAAAGCAAAATCAAAGAAGTTATTTAAATTGTTCATTCGTTGTTTCTTTATCTACTTAAAAAGTAACATTTCATTCTTTCTTTCTCGCTTGCACAAAAACCTTGTCACTGAAAAAGTGCTCTTTTATGAAAATTGAATGAAACATTATTTTATCAACAGCATCATTCTTCCAGTTTCTTTATACAATTTCTTCTGTTTTCTAATAAATAATCTACAAAACAATTCGTCAAAAAGACAACACGGATTTTAGTTTTTTTTTGATAAAATTATTTTAATTTGATATTTTTACAGTAATATTTAAAAAACTTCTTTATCTGAATTTTTCTTTTATAAATAAAAATAAGATTTCGGTCTTAATTATATTCTTGGTCGTTTGATGAATTAGCAGTAAAATAGAATCAGAGAAATAGATAAAAGTTTTATTTTACTTTTAAAAATCTAACAATTAAAAAATTTTTATTATTTTACTCATTCACTCTCTCTTTTTTCTCCAGTTCATCAATACAAATTTTTTTCATCTTTATCTATATACATTGAAATCAATCATGATCTTAAAACTNAAAGTTTTATTTTACTTTTAAAAATCTAGCAATTAAAAAATTTTTATTATTTTACTCATTCACTCTCTCTTTTTTCTCCAGTTCATCAATACAAATTTTTTTCATCTTTATCTATATACATTGAAATCAATCATGATCTTAAAACTTATCAAAATATATGGAAAATTTAAAAAATGACAATTAGATATATAGTTTCTGTATTCACTAAAAAAAAAAATTGACGTCAATAGTGATATTTAAACGATTAGTTTTAGGATTAATTAAATCCTCTATTTATACAAAATGATATTCGTAAAAATCACATTATAAGTGGGATGAGAACTAGAGATTCAGGATCAGTTTCACTTTATTCAGTTCAAATAGTCAAACCTTGTGAAATGAAATATGTGTTCAATATTTCAATGGGAAACTTTTGTTGCGTGTCATCATGATGTTGTACTTCATAATGCAGAGTTCAATAGTCTACGTGATATCTATTTTGATATCGAGTCAAACACGTTTTGTTGCTTATAACGATAATCACAATATTTTACGATGATCAGTGAACTCCTGTAACTGGATATCGATTGTTCTGGATATCAAATATTTTTCTAATATTATATCAGTAGACGTAAAGTATCTCTCAAGTGTAATATTTGATCCAATGGCTTATGCATATCAAGTTGATAGATTTAATGATTGTGGTTAATACTTGTTAGCTGATCGTTCACATGATGCAACATTTGATAATGGAAATAGTATATTCAAAAACAAAACTATTGCTTGAAAAAAGGTTTCCCGCAATTATACCTTAAAAATTGAATATTCTTTCCAAGGAATATTGCAGTAATTGCTATTGTAGACCTAACAAAACTTTACATGCAAAAACTAGTCGATTCCCAGACTAACATGATCTTATAAATCATAAAGTAAAAAATCAAATACTTCTTACGTGACTGTCAGACTAAATTAAGAAAAATGATATATTCATGCCGAAACATCAAATGCCCCTTCCAAGAGATATTTTGTATTTCTATAAGAAAAAAAGTTTTATTTTTTTTAACTGTAACGTGATTATACTAACGTAAGTGTCTAGAAACTTTAATTCACTAGTCTACTTTTTATCCTGATAAAAAAAATCACGCCTCATTTTAAGAGTTACAACAAGACAATCTCAATTTGATAATTTTTAGCCAATGTTGAATTTAATTTTCTATATTATTATTTGTATCGAATTATGAATATCATAGTAACACTGCTGCCTTAGTAGTTAAGAATAGATAATTTTATCATCTTCTCACCGGTGAGATGACTTTATCTGTAATATATATTATTATTACTCATTCACTAAATTTCAAAACCTTATAGAATTAGAAATTCTCACGAATTTATTAAAGTACAAGAGTATTTTCGCGATTTTTTTTTCTTTTTTCATTACTAACGATAAATAAGAGTAAACTTCCATTTTGATATTTTCACATAGAACAATATCACTACAATATGAAAGAAAACATAATCGAAAAAAAACAAACATGCTACTTAAGTATTCAAAACTTCTACATTTTCAATTTCTAATCTTTTTTACGACTTGTTATTGCTCCTGTATTCATCAGATGATTTCAATGCTATTCTTATTCTTTGAGCTCGGTGTAATCTTCAAGGCAGATGTCCGTCAAAAAACTTCAATAATACATGAGGAAATTTAATGAATGAAGGTGAATATATGTAAAATGCATCACAACCATGAAAAAATCAAAGCAATCGTACTATAGACATGCTCAATCGTTCCCATGCTAATTTTTCAGAAGTTTTCAACTCGAAAATAATAACTGTTCGATATAATTTATTAATAGCAAATGGAAGAGTCAATGCAATGGCACAAGCTGTTTGAACAAGTGTCATGCATTGAAAATCTTGAATACTATGACATTTTAAGTGTGATAGTCTATTTTCTGGATCATTATCACATCGTTGACGTATATTGTATATCATTAGAAAACCAAATATACTCATTAGAACACGAAAGATAAGTCCATGTGCAATAAGAAAACTAATATCATAACCTAAGCGATAATGAGAATGTCTTGGAGCCTAACATTCTTTTTCTCCATCTCTATGAACAACAAATATGGTTAACATATTTGACGGGAAAAGACTGAAAATGATTAAAACAATTGGAATCAAACATCGTGTAACTTTAATATTACCCCATCGACGATATTATACTTGAGAACATGATGACCCAAAGCGATCGACAGATACAAGTGTGATTTGAGTTGTTGATGCCAAGTAAGCTGAATATAAGAAAAATATACGTACTCGACACCATCAGAGAACTGGTATTGGTATATGATAGCCACCTTTTAAAAACGAAATAATTGACCAAATAGAATTTGTATTATAGAAACACATGATGATGTAAGAAAGTAATTACAACATGAATTTGAAATAAGCTTTGGTCAAGTAAATATAATTATATCAAGTATATGACGAATAAGATCAAAAATGATTAAAGGAAGAAATGTAAATCGATAGATATTAGTAGTGATCTCATTGAGATGAAGAACAGTTTGGCTTGAACTGTTAGAGATTCTCATGAATAATATTCAACTTTTTATTCTGTTATATAATCAGCAATCTGTCGTAAATTGCGATGAAAAGATGTTAAAAAATTAACATTCTATGTCATGCCATGCAAAACAAGTCTACATTGACAAGTTTACTTCCATCAGATTAGGATGTTATTAATAAAACTCTCGCATCTCTTATCTTATTTGATAATACTTTTTACTAGAACTCTATTCGCACACAATATGAGAAAAACATTCGTTAACTTTACAAAATATATGTGCATACTCAAAATCATTAAACATACTCAGATTGTAAATCCACACTTATGAATTTTGAGTTCTCTTGTCAACATATTAAATGCCCAATGATGCGTATTATTCAGTATACTTGTACAATTACATCTTAATCGGCGTACAATAACATATTTTAAGGAACACACTCTAGCCTTTACAGCTAGCTACTATCCATCAATTGATATAATGAACAATAGTGCGCGATTTCTTCTTAGAGACACGATTTGTCAAGCGCTAAATGTAATATTGGTTGTGTTCGGTGCAGATTTTGCTGTTCTATTGATTGATATTCTTTTCAGTGAAGATTTATGACCATAAAATGCGATTAGACAATAAATATTTCATAATTTTCATAAGAATTAACTTTAAGTTTTAATGACTTAGATCATCATTTTCCTATAAGGTATTTTCACATAAAAAACATCATTATAATATAAAAAACAATCAAAAATTGACTAAACTGAATTGAGACTTGCAAACAAAAAACAAACATGACATTTAAATATTCAAAACTTCTACACTTTCAATTTCTAGTCTTTTTTTTTACAAGTTGTTATTGTTAATGTTTGCAATAGATATTTCGAAAGGTTTTTTTCTCCTTTGTGTTCGATATACTCTTCGAGGTAGATATTCATCAAGAAATTTAAATAGTTCATGACGAAATTTAACGGATGAAAGTGAATATATGTAAAATGCACCACTATCATGAAAAAACCAAAGCAATCGTACTATAGACATGCTCAATAGTTCCCATGCTAATGTTTCAGGAGTTTTCAACTCGAAAGTATTTACTGTTAGATATAATTTATGGACAGCAAATGGAAGAGTCAATGCAATGGCACAAGCTGTTTGAACAAGTGTCATGCGTTGAAAATCTCGAATACGATGACGTCTCAAACTTGATGGTCCATTTTGTTGATCAAAACGACATCGCCGACTGATATTGTATATTGTTAGAAACCCAAATGTACCCAATAGTACAGGAAATATGATTCCATGAACAATAAGAAAACTAATATCATAACCTAAGCGATAATGAGAGTGTCTTGGAGCCCAACATTCTTTTTCGCCATCTCTATGAACAACAAATAAGGCTAACATATGTGACTGGGAAAGACCGGAAATAATTAAAACAATTGGAATCAAACGTCGTGCAACTTTAACATTAGCCCATCGACGATATTTTACTTGAGAACATGATGACGCAAAGCGATCGGCAGATGCAAGTGTGATTAGAGTTGTTGATGCCAAGTAAGCTGAATATAAGAAAAATACACGTACTCGACACCACCAAAGAACTGGTATTGGCATATAAAAGCCACCTTTTAACAAACGAAAGAATTGACCAAATAGGATTTGTATTATAGAAACACATGATGATGCAAGACAATAATTACAACATGAATTTGAAATAAGTTTTGGTCGTGTAAATATAATTATATCAAATACATGACCGATAAGACCAAAAATAATCAAAGGAGGAAAACTAGATCGATAGATATTAGCAGTGATTTCATTGAGACGAAGAATAATTTGGCTTGAGTTGTTAGACCTATTCATGAATGATATTCAGCTTTTTATTTTATTCTTTGATCTACCATTGATTGTAAATGTCAGTAGAAACATGCTCAAAAATTAACATTCTATGACATATCATGCAAAATAAGTCTAGATTGGCAAATGTACTTCAACCACATTAAGTTTTATGAATAAAATTTCTCTTATCTCTTATCTTATTGGATAAAATTCTAGACTGAAATTCTATTTACATATGATTAGGGAAAAACATTCGTTGACTTTACAAGATGCATGTGCATACTCAATAATGCAATCACACCCTTGAGTTCCGAGTTCTCCAGTCAATATACTTAATGCACAATGATGTATATTGTTCAATATATTTATGTGATTAAACTTCAGTCGGCGTACAATAACAAACTTTAGTAAATATACTCAAGTCTGCACAACAAGCACCTAGCGATAATTACAATCTAACAATGGCGTGTGATTCATTTTTAGAAACATAATTTGTCAAGGACTAAACGAGACAAAATGAATGATAGATTCGAGTATTCTTATCTAATATTCGATCATGGACATTTGTTTGCTCTAAGGTTGATTGTGCTTGGTGTAGACTTTGACGCTCTATTGGTTTGTACTTTTTTTGATCGAGACTTTATGATCACACTAATGCCATTAGACGCGAAATATTCCATTGCTCTTGTACGAGCCAAGTCGTTGTTTTGAATGACTTTTAGCGTATAACTTTTCTTTAACAGTTTTTCGCATGAACTTGTACACTTGTATACCCACACCTTTCCACGAATATATCTGAATCTGACTATTGAACCACCAATCAAATGTAGGGAGTATACAACCTCCACAAATCTTCTGGGTAAAAGTTAAAACACATGAAACCTTCTTCCAGTTGCATCTATTTCTGAGCAGACAACTGATTTAATCAGTTCGGTACAGAACTAATTCATTATAATAAAATGTAAAAACATAGTCGGTGAAAATAAACGAATTTAAATAGTATGTAAAAGAATTTTTTCAAAAGATAACACAGTTCTTGGATTTTTAATAAAATTATTTTATTCAAAAATTTGATATTTTTTATCTAATTATGTTTTACAAAATTCTTTGAAAAAGAAAAGAAAAAAAGCGAATCAGAGAAATAAGATTTTAATCGAGATAAGAAATATTATAATTGAAATGTTTTCCATATCTCAGCCACTCATTTTTTTCTTCTTTCGGTATTCCATCGAAAAACATTTTTTATTTCTTTATTCATGTACATTCAAATCAATGATAATATTAAACATTAAAATAATCATTTTTTCGTATTACTTCAAGGGGTGATACTGAACAAAGATCAATGGTATATAATACATATCGAAAGTGTTAATGTGTAGTTAATCAATAAGTACCGTTACCAGAGCTTCTGATACTTTGAATAATGGATTAGACAGAGCGTTTGATAGAACTCGAGATTCAACTACTGTTTCACTTTATACTGGTTACATATCTAATCATTGTGAAATGAAATATGCATTCAACAATTCGATGGGAGACTTTTTGACATTGTGCATCATCATACAGCTGTACTTCACAATGGAGAATTCAATGGTCTTTGTGGCATCTATTTTCATATTGATTCAAACATTCTCTCGATTACTTATAACGATAATCATAATATTATATGATGATTCGTAAGCGTCTGTAGCTGTACATTAGTTGTTGTGGATATTAACTGTTTGTCTCGCATCACATCAGTAGACTTAAAGTAGCTCTTCAGTATAGCATTTAATTCAATGGCTTATATGTATATCTACTCGATAAATTTAATTACTATGATCAATGTATGTGAGCTGGCTATTAAAGTAGTACAACAATTGCTAATGCAACTAGCAGAATTGGCAGCAACTCAACGAAACCTAATCAAGTCTATTGAATGTCAGTGGACAATCAACTCAATATTGTATATATCTGATACTAAAACAAAAGTCATTGGGTACAAAAATTTTTCCACAATTCAAGCAAGACAATCTTGATTTGATAAATTTTTGGCCAAAGTTAAAGTTAATTTTTTATATTATTACTTACATCGAATTCTGAATGTCATTCTAACACTGCCACCTTATTAGTGAAAAATGACAAATATATAGAATAAGAAAATCTCAGGAATTCATTATATAAAAATATATGTGCAAGTTCTTTATTTTCTTCATTCATTTTTTATATTTTCGGACAGAATAGCATTATTATAGTATGAAAACACAATCTGAAACTGGCAATACTAAATATAAGATCGCATACGAAAAGCAAACATGATACCTACATATTCAAATCTTACACTTTTATATTTTTAATTTCAAGTGTTTTTTACAAGTTGTTATTGTTATTGTTTTCAATACGTATTTCGAAAGATTTTTTTCCCCTTTGTATTCGATATACTCTTCGAGGTAAATGTTCATCAAGAAATTTAAATAATTCATGACGAAATTTAACGGATGAAAGTGAATATATGTAAAATGCACCACTATCATGAAAAAACCAAAGCAATCTTACTATAGACATGCTCAATCGTTCCCATGCTAATTTTTCAGGAGTTTTCAAATGAGAATGTGTTATTGTTCGATGTAATTTATGGACAGCAAATGGAAGAGTCAATGCAATGATACAAGTTGTTTGAACAAGTGTCATACGTTGAAAACCTTGAATACGATGACGTCTCAAACTTGATACTCCATGTTGTTGATCATAACGTCGTCCTCGACGTATATTGTATACTGTAAGAAACCCAAATATACCCATCAGTACAGGAAAGATTATTCCATGAACAATAAGAAAAATAATATCAAAACTTAATCGATAATTACTATCTTTTGGTGCCCAACACTCGTCTTCTTCATTTTTATCGATGACAAAAAAAGCTAACATATGTGACCGACAAAATCCTGAACTAATTAAAACAATTGGAATCAAGCGTCTTGCAACTTTAACATTAGCCCATCGACGATATTTTACTTGAGAACATGATGACGCAAAGCGATCGACAGATGCAAGTGTGATTAGAGTTGTTGATGCCAAGTAAGTCGAATATAAGACAAATATACGTACTCGACACCACCAAAGAACTGTTATTGGTATATGATAACCACCTTTTAACAAACGAAATAATTGACCAAATAGGATTTGTATTATAGAAACACATGATGATGTAAGAAAATAATTACAACATGAATTTGAAATAAGCTTTGGTCGAGTAAATATAATTATATCAAGTATATGACCGATAAGACCAAAAATGATCAAAGGAGGAAATGTAAATCGATAGATATTAGTAGTGATCTCATTAATATGAAGAAGAGTTGGGCTTGAATTGTTAGACATATTCATGAATGAAACTCGCCTTGTTATTTTATTTTGTGATCAATTATCGGTCGTCAAATGTCAGCAAAAACGTGTTGAAAATTTATTACTCTAGGAAATATCATGCAAAACAAGTCTATTTCAATCAAATGAGACATACATCAATAGAATCTCTCTTATCTCTAATGTTATATGATAACATTTTTTATTAAAGAAGATTAGATAAGATTAGAGAAAAAAGTTTGTTCAGTCTAGAAAATCATTTATTTCGGTGATGGTGTTTTAGTATTATTGTGTTTTAACCTTTTGAGTCAAATTGTATGGTTTTTTTTTGACGTTATTGTACTTTCCCATTTTAATCATTAAGTTCTTCAAACGATCTAGTTTACAGATTCGTACCATTTCTTCTCGCATAGGCTCAATAAGACATGTTACTTATTAATTTTTGTCAATTCTTGATGCTAAATTGATTTGTCATAGGTAATCTTCGATTAATTTCATCTCCTCGCCACGAAAAAAAGTATGCACCGAAAAAAAAAAACAGTTTCATTCTCAGTGTTGCATTGGCTAAAGTTACTCAAGCATGACGAACGTCGTGGAAAGTATTAATGGATCAATGTCGATTTCAAGCAAAACATTTAATCAATCAAAGTTATGTTTAGTACTACCTGCATAGAAATACAATACTTGATAATATTTGCTTGTTGAGAAAAAATTGTTGAATAACAGAAGATCTCGTTTGCTTTTCACGATCTCCTTAAATTCATTGTACATCAATATCTTATGCAACTTAAACAGCCAGTGATGAATGATAATTTGGTCTCCTGTACGGATGTTCCATTTGATGACGTGGAATATATGATCCAATCAATGTTGTTAGAAAGAATATTATCTCTACAATCAAACATTCAGCCATTCAAATCCTATTATGAAGATAAATAACGATATTTACACCTTACTATATGAAAATTGTCCTGAATGTGAGAGAGAAAAATGTTGAGGACATGAAATAGCTCAATAAACATCATTACTGGTGATGCCAGTTAAGCCTCTCTAGTTTTGCGTCTCAAATATGAATTGAGAAAATAATTATAAATACATGCTTTTCAATTAGCATGATTTAAAAATTAAAGTTCTGACACAACTATATTGTATATATTACTATTGTTTTCGAGTTATTCACATTTTTTTCTACAATAATAAAGATCTATTGTTGTTTCAGATGAATGCAGTTCTTTAATTTTTAGACCATCTATCAACATATATTTTTAAATGTTAGAGGATGTGGATCTACTTCTCACCAACATTTTCACAATCATACATCAAAGCCATATTCAACAATAGGGATGCTGTATTAGAATATGTATTAGTATTAAAATTAATCTTAATGCTTTAGTATTATGTTTGATTCCAACACATAGATTACCCGCGACTAAATCTCGGATATATTAAGTTCACAAGTTCTCAAAACAGAATAAAATTTTTTCAGTTTTAGGAATGATACTTCAGGGGAAAAGCATTTGTTCTGTTATTGCAATCTGTCGAACATAAACGCTCAGATGTATAATCGCAGGTAGCATTTGCACTAGAATTAGAAATCATACAAATTGAATGTTAACAGCTTCGTATTAATTAGTTCTAATGCAAATAATATCGATGCATAAAGGATAATATTAATATTAATGCTTTCAACGAATTTGTTTTTCAGCAAAATCGTTTTGGTCTCAACTGTGTTTTTAACAAAAGTACTTCTCAATAAAATATTCGCTGCAAAAGCTTGTCATGAAAAATGGTGCAGTCGAAAAGAAAAAAAAGACACCTTTTTCATGTTGAAATAATGAATTTGACGTGTCAAACGAATTGAATTCGATACATATTCTAGTGTATTGCCAACGGCACAATCTGCATTTTTTTATTTTTTTCTTCGGTGATTTTGCTTATTTTTCTTCTTTCAACGACTTGATTGACATTGAAAGAAAAGAATGTAAGCATGTAAATAAGTTTACATTAGAGAAACTGTGCAAGTAGTCATGCCATAGAATTGTGATCGACTTGCGTAATATTATTGTGCTTGTTTTTCAACAATTTATTTTTCGGTGCAATAGATACTTTTTATTGTCTTCGAAATTAACTTTGTCATGGCACGTACAATCAACTTGTTGGACCGTTGGCCAGTTGAACTGTTGCATATGCTCTTTGATTATATCTCAACAAACGAAATTTTTTGCATTTTTTCTGGTCTTAGTAACTACATCGATAGTGTTTTACTCTCGTATAAGTACGGTCATCTCAACTTCAAATCTATTATCAAATCCCATTTTGATATTCTCTGTCATCGAATTCGACCAGAGCAAATTATTACACTTATACTATCAGATGATTGTGATACACCTAATCAATCAAAATTATTCTTTTCTTATTTTCCAATTGAACAATTTATTAGACTTCGATCACTTACTTTGATCGAAATCGAATTTAGCTCATATGAATACATATTTTTGAATTTACAAAGTTTGCAGCAATTGGAATCTCTATCCTTTGATTATGGAGATTTTTGGCTAAAATCATATTATACTATTTTTGCTTCAAATATCATAGGAGATCAATGGGTTCACATAAATTCCATTGTAATGGAAAATTTTATTGCACTACTACCCAAATTGAATCGATTGCGGTTATGGGATGGTAGAAAATTGCGATATGAATCACTTTCTAATCTTCGCCACTTGGTATTAACAACTTGTTCACTTACGAAACTCGAATCGATTTGTCATCGAGCACCAAAACTCAAATCTCTCAACGTCGGTTTGAATTTATGTCACTTAAAACTCGAATATGCTTCTCTATCACCTCAACTCACTCGGCTAACACTGAAAATCGAAGGTGAGTATGCTATTTACACTCTATTCGGATTGTCAAAATACGAGGTATGATTAATGGACAATTTTGATTTTTCAATACTTGAATGAAATTTAGTTATTGATAAGAGATATGAAATAGAAGCGACGTAGAAATGTTGCCTTTTTCTTTGCTTATGAGTAATACGAGAAAAAAGAAATTCATATCATGTTGTCTTTATCTAAAGATGAACCAGTATCAATGAATCAGATGGAATTCCTTCTTGCCAATCTTTTACACTTGAAACATCTCGAATTGCACGCCAAAGATCTTAGTGATTTGGTCGATGGGTATCGATGGCAAATATTGACTAGCAACCTTTTATCATTCAAATTCAAGTTTAAAATAGACTTAATTTCAATCGAACAAAATTTCGCTTCGTTTCGTACTTCCTTTTGGCTGCAAGAAAAACATTGGTATGTAGCATATGATGATGAATATCTTTTTTCGGTACCTCACTTCGCTCCAGTAAACGCTAATACACCTTACTCTCTGCCGACTTATTATACAACACCAAATGACAACATCTTTCGTGAAACTATTACTAAACTCACTCTATCGATTTTACCCAAGAGCAGTAACTATCATTTTCCTAATGTTGAAACACTAGAAATTAGTTGTGTCGGTCCATATTATATTCTATTTGAAATTATTGATTTGAGTCGCGTACAACATTTGATTATAACTTGGGCAGAATATATTCTACATTTTAAACTCATGCTGAAGACAATGTCTTCTCTGAACAGATTAACAATCAAATCTGCAGTGACCTTCGAACATCTTATTCAAATGCATGTTTGTCGATTTCAACAAATTCGAAGACTTCAAATTCAAAGTATTAGCATAGAAAATAATCATAACTTTGAAGAATTATTTACTTGTTTTCCTTATGTCGAACATCTTCACATACAACGCGTCAGTACAAGAACAAATCTAACTTATTTGATCGATGGATTTAAGCATTTACTCAATGCATCATTCGGTATTCCATTTATTGTTGAACTTGATGATGAAGATATCAAAAATCTTCTTCGTCAACCACACATACTCCTGTTTGGTAGTAAGCGACTCGCATGCAGTACTTTTACATGTAATGTGTACCCGTTTTCAGATTGGACTATTGCAGTTTGGATTGGTGAGCGCATATTATGCAATAGCGCCAAGAGCTCGCGCAAATCTATCTTTCGATGGTTACGTCGTCACGGTTGTGTTTTTAAATGTTTGACTGGCCACACTGATGAAAATACTTCTAATTAACAACTAGATAAAAATATTATAAATAGTACAATTCATATTGAAAAGAAACTGATTGTTTTTCTTTTATTTAGAAACTCGATCAAAATCATTTAATATACCAATGATGATGACTTTTTTTGATGGAAAATTTTTAAAAAATTCAATAAAACTTATACACTATCATGAAACCTTCTTGTTCTTCATTCATTAAAGTTTTGTGAAAGATAATCTTAAACGAATGTAGAAGTATATAGAAAGAAAACTTACAGCTTTCTTGTTGCATTTTTAAGGAATTAAATAAGAGAAGGGTGAAGGAATATGTCCCAAAACTATTCAGTCAGAAATATAAAATTAACGCGTTACAACAATTCATACTTTCTGCTATTTAACTCATTGTGCGAAGTCAAAAATGTCGGAAATTTTGAGTTTTAACGATGGGCCTTTTCTTATAATTCAAACTCATTATGACAGTTTATACAAAAATATTTCTTAGTGTTTTCCATGTAAACGCGTCAAAAAGGAGGGTGTGAGAGTGGAAGTGAATATAGATATGGACGAATAGTATATCCAAGCCCACACTTAACCACACCAGCTTCCACACCCACACCCGAAACTTGCACCAATGCAAAGTGATACAGAAGAATATAAACTATTTTCAAAACAGAAAACTGCACTTAATTATAAATAATTACCATATGCACAAGGCTTACCATTCGATGAATCTGCCTTTCTCCGAGATCATAATACAACTGAACCACATCTGAATCAGTACGATATGCTTTTAAATCAATACTTTAGTAATCTGTCATATATTTACAAATCGAGCTCGAAATTTTTGGTCCCTTTTCAACAACTTATGAAAAAATGCATATGAATGTTATTCAATT